CGGGGGCTGTTCTGGTTCCGTCGAGTAACAGGTTTAACAGAGCGCTCAATGAATAGTTAAGATAATAGTGTCCATTGTAGGCCGCGTGTCGTGGGACGGGCCCCATCTAACAAATGGCCCATTGTTATCTCTTACGGCTGTTCGGTTTTTCCTGTTGCTTCTGCGCTTCTGCTATCCTTCTTCCCGTCGTCCTTCTTCCAACCGTGCTGCACGAAACGCGCACAAGCGTGCACGCGGGGGTAAATCACGAACCGGCGAAACCGACGATCTCACGTTCGGGGGCTATTATTACGCCGTTTCGCCGATTGAAAAATACACGCGAGTTATGCCCTCGCTCGTAATCGACAGCCATAAAGTATCATTCCTTCTTCTCGCGTTTTTTTAGGTCTTCCGACAGCCCGTGTAAAATTCCGCCAACGCGCCGATCTCCTTTTTTTAATTGTATCTGCGAATATTGATATATTATATAATATAATATTTTATATACTTATTATTATTATAATATTATAATTTAATTTAAATATTATAATTATTATAATATTATTACAATATTTTAGAAACTATGTTTTCTCATTCTTGTTTAAAAGAAGTACAGTAAAATCTCTCTAATTGACGCCCCGATTGCGCTCAAAAATGTACAATTTGGGAAGAGGAGATACGATTATTCGAGCCTTGCGGTTTATCTTTGTAGTTATAAATTGTCCACAATTATAAAAATGAGCTGCAAGGCTCGAATAATCGTATCTCCTCTTCCCAAATTATCCAATTTAGTGGACAATCTGAGCGTCAGTAAGGGAGACATTACTGCGGACACTCTTGGCAGAGTGTTCCGAACCATTCTACGAATACAAATCTTCTCCAATATTTCCTGTATTTGTTTATTTAATTTTCCTATATTAAATCCCATCGCCTAATGCATCAAACTGTTAACGAATCATATAATGGACGAATCGCGTGGGGCTCGAGATAATCGATTGCACGGGTATCGGAATCGGCGAGGCGATAATCAAGTTTTCGTGGTTGAGACACCGTCCGGTCGCTTCTAATAGCCGAACGAAATTAGACGACGCTCGATAAACGCGATCCTGTATACAGGGTGTCTCAAAAATGTCTCGCGATCCGAAAGTGGCGGGTTCCTCGGGTCATTGGAAGCAACTTTTTCCTTTACAAAAATGTTCTCCGAGGCACCGTTAACAAGTTATCAACGAAAAACAGTGACCAATGAGAGGCGAGCTCGGCTGGCGCGAGGCGACCGAGCCAATGAGCGGAATCGGGCTTCGCGCGCTGGTNAATTTGGGAAGAGGAGATACGATTATTCGAGCCTTGCGGTTTATCTTTGTAGTTATAAATTGTCCACAATTATAAAAATGAGCTGCAAGGCTCGAATAATCGTATCTCCTCTTCCCAAATTATCCAATTTAGTGGACAATCTGAGCGTCAGTAAGGGAGACATTACTGCGGACACTCTTGGCAGAGTGTTCCGAACCATTCTACGAATACAAATCTTCTCCAATATTTCCTGTATTTGTTTATTTAATTTTCCTATATTAAATCCCATCGCCTAATGCATCAAACTGTTAACGAATCATATAATGGACGAATCGCGTGGGGCTCGAGATAATCGATTGCACGGGTATCGGAATCGGCGAGGCGATAATCAAGTTTTCGTGGTTGAGACACCGTCCGGTCGCTTCTAATAGCCGAACGAAATTAGACGACGCTCGATAAACGCGATCCTGTATACAGGGTGTCTCAAAAATGTCTCGCGATCCGAAAGTGGCGGGTTCCTCGGGTCATTGGAAGCAACTTTTTCCTTTACAAAAATGTTCTCCGAGGCACCGTTAACAAGTTATCAACGAAAAACAGTGACCAATGAGAGGCGAGCTCGGCTGGCGCGAGGCGACCGAGCCAATGAGCGGAATCGGGCTTCGCGCGCTGGTTGGCCGGGCCGCCTCGCGTCAGCCGTACTCGATTCTTATTGGCCACTGTTCTTTCGTTGATAACTCGTTAACGGTGCCTCGGAGGAAATTTTTGTAAAGGAAGAAGTTGCTTCAAATGATCCGAGGAACCCGCCGTTTCCGGATTACGAGACATTTTTCGGACACCCTGTATTACGGGCTCGGGTGAAGCGTCCTACGAGGCACAATTGATCCGCGAGCGGGTATTATAAGGGGCCTCGCGAACGGGGAAGCGTTCCCGAGCGTATCTCGAGTCCCCGAGAGAGAGAGAGAGAGAGAGAGAGAGAGAGAGAGAGCCGTCTCCGGCGAGCGATGGCCGGCTCCGGTGCCGGTTTTATTCCCGATCGAATGTTTTTGCCTGGCCGTCGCAAACCTAATTGGATTCGCTACGATCGACGAAGAGGAGAGGCCACGTTACGGCGAAGCATTACGCAAAATCACGTACCGGTGCCGCGCGGCGCTTTTTAAAATGCCGACGACGAGGCCGGCACGTTTGAACCCGTATCAACATCAATGCGGATCCCCGATCCGTGATCGTCGTGTACAAGGAATGGGATACGGGGCCCGCCGCCGGCGATTTGCTTCGCCGCTTAATCGCAACGGATACTATGTACCCACAAAATTCGTTTCTCAACGCCGTTCCGCGCCGCGTCCCTTTTTCTTGCGTGACTCCCTTGGACGTGGTCCTTCTTGCCGATCTTGCTCGATCGAATCTCTCTAGACTCACGATGAAACACCATTCGTCTGAAACCGAACGGATTTTTCTTTATCCTTTAGTCTCTCGTCCTTACCGGACTTACGAGAGGCGTGTATTATATACGTGCACGCCCCCATTGTATAGCGACTACCTTCGACTCCACGCGATTTGTTCCGCGACTTGTTCTTCATTGTCGAACTTTTGTCAACCAAAGAAACTTTATCCTCGCGATTATTACGCGCATCATTTCGCTGCTGATCCTTCACGATACCCTGCAACTGTGAAACTGTATGTTACTAATTTTTAAAATTTTAATTTCAGCTAAAACGTTGCAAAAATAAAAGGTTATGTACCGCGAGCGTAAACTCTCCAATTGTAGATTCGTTGTTTCTTTGCGCATTTGAAATATGTTTGCATATTGAATAATAGTATTTATTGAATAACTAATCTAATATCTAATAATTAGATATTTTTGAACAACCATTTTCGTCTTCGCCCATCCGCACGTCGCATTAGCATAACCGCGCAAATAGGTAACGAACGCATGTTCCGACGTTCGCGCTGCTAGACAAGGGAACAGCGGTTCAAAGGCGTTCGAACCCGCGCGATACGCCACGAGAGAGCTACTTATCGCCGTACAATTCTTACCTTGCAACATATGTACTCGCGTTCGACGATCGTGTGCGCCGCAGAGCTCGCATACCCGATCTTTTTCCATCGCGCGAGTCGACCTTACCATCCTCTTCTCCTCCGAGAGACACAGCGAGAGACAGGGACAGCGGCGCGCACACACTTTCTCGGTCCCTGCGCCAAACAGGGAAGAGCCTCGTGTGCGTGCGTGCATCGTCCAGGCGGGCCGAACGGCAGGCGCTAACGCCGATGCATGTAGCAGACGGGTGTACATACACATTTCTGCGTCGTGTCGACTCTCCGCCGTCCCCCGTTTTGCCCTTTTTCTCGACCCATCCCGTCCCGTTTCTTGCGACTCTCGAGAGCTTGAGACAGAGAGAGAGGGAAAAGGCGATGCGCGGGGGTGGGGGTAGACGTCGAACGACGAGCCGACTCATCGAAAGGAACCGATGAAAGTGGGAAAACTCGGGGAAGAGAAATGGCGGGAGTGCCGCCGACGGAACGGTAGAACAAGATGGAACATCGGTGATGTCGTATAAGTGCGCCGCGTGATATTTTAGCGAACTCATTCGGTCCGGCGAGTTTCCTGCCGACAAGAAACAGAGCGTTCGGTTCGACGCCGATAAATGATACACGATAACAATAACATAGAAATTCGTTGGGATCGTGTAACATTTATAGCCGAAATAAATAAGTATAAATACATTTTTACGGAATTTCGCGTGAGAGTATTGATAGCATTTAAATGAATTTCGGCTTCTATTCGAGCTGATGGTATAAGTAATATAATATGTAAATATAATATAATATAATAATATATAATAATAATATGATTATATTATTATATAATAATATATAGTAATATAATATATATATAAGATGGGGTATAACTTGTGTTTGTTCGTTACAGAAAAAAAACGATAACGGATCAGCGCATGTCGAATTTGTTGTTCGAAGGATGTTTCGCTATCGATTTGTGATTTTATGCATTGTTAAAATATCGCCGTGCCGCAGAAGGAGAGAAGGTTAACAGAGGATAGAGCGGGGCAAGTAAGCAGCGGAGAATAGGAGGAGAAACCCGCGAGAGATCAAGTTAGAGTGCCGGCACAAAAAACCTGTCCCGCATAATTACATTATCGGTCACATCTCGTTCGACTTCTGTCCGCGCGGCTGTCTCGCTTGCCTGTCCGAACGTGCTCCCGTGGACGGAGAGGGCTGCCCGGCGGCCCAGCCGTCCTCGAAGACGATGCGACGGAGCCCCATAGGAACCGCAGGGGGTCCCCATCCCTGCCCCCTTCGTTCGATCTTTCCTCGAGCTTCGATCCGGATCGGAGAGAACTCCGACCGATTGACAGATATACTCGACGCTAGAGTCACCTTGCGTCGTTTCTGCCAGGTTTTGAGGTTATCGTTCGGTTCGAACGCACGGGTACACCGCGCTACAGCAATGTCTCCCTAACTGACGCTTAGATTGTGCAGAAAAATGAACAATTTGAGAAGAGGAGATACGACTAATTTGAGCCCTGCGCCTTGTTTTTATAATTACCGATTCTCGACAACTATAAAAACGAGGCGCAGGACTCGAATAATCGTGTCTCCTCTTCCCAAATTGTACATTTTTGTACGCAATCTGAGCGTCAGTGAGGGAGACATTACTGTAATCCGAGCGTCAGTTAGGGAGACATTACTATATTGCCAACGACAACGTTCAAAATCAGAGTATAAACGACAATAACGAAAACCACGGATTTAACGAGCGTGAACATATATTGTCGTTTGTTGATTTCGTTTATTTTATTCATCTTTTTTATTGACATGGGAGATGTTACACAGGCGTTGGAATGCGCGTTATCGTGATCGCTGATGAAACGGTCAGAACTAAAAAACGGATCGATTAAATTTCTTTGTTTTTTTTTGTACATAACGGATGTAACGTAATCGACGGGGCACACACGTGGTGTCGTGTCGCGTCGAGATGAAACTAACTTTCAACCGGTTAGCTGTAAACTCTGCAATTTTCTACGCCGTAGAAAAAAAATATTGAAAACGATGGGGGCACCGGAACATCAGAAACATGCACCGGAACACACAACGTGTTCTCCCCCGCTTGTGCATCTTTCTGCCGGTAAACGCAACGGGTATCTTAATAAGTAATAATATNACATTTTTGTACGCAATCTGAGCGTCAGTGAGGGAGACATTACTGTAATCCGAGCGTCAGTTAGGGAGACATTACTATATTGCCAACGACAACGTTCAAAATCAGAGTATAAACGACAATAACGAAAACCACGGATTTAACGAGCGTGAACATATATTGTCGTTTGTTGATTTCGTTTATTTTATTCATCTTTTTTATTGACATGGGAGATGTTACACAGGCGTTGGAATGCGCGTTATCGTGATCGCTGATGAAACGGTCAGAACTAAAAAACGGATCGATTAAATTTCTTTGTTTTTTTTTGTACATAACGGATGTAACGTAATCGACGGGGCACACACGTGGTGTCGTGTCGCGTCGAGATGAAACTAACTTTCAACCGGTTAGCTGTAAACTCTGCAATTTTCTACGCCGTAGAAAAAAAATATTGAAAACGATGGGGGCACCGGAACATCAGAAACATGCACCGGAACACACAACGTGTTCTCCCCCGCTTGTGCATCTTTCTGCCGGTAAACGCAACGGGTATCTTAATAAGTAATAATATAATAATAATAATAATAATAATAATAATAATAATAATAAATGTACAATGAAAGATCAGCACGATAGGCGCGCGCATATTAATTGAATGAAGTATGCATTTTTTGTTTTGTTTCTTCGCGGTATTATAAGGTAAACATGCGCTGTCCTGCCGTTCAATGAACACTGCTTTTGCGTGTATGTTGTTTCTTTTTTCTGTTTTTTCTTTTTTTGCGCTGCGCTGTGGCACGGTGTCCTTTGCTGCGCAACGATACAAACAGAACTGTTAATAAGTCGATAAAACTAAATGTCCAGATCCAACGTCGAGATTCATACTTTGAAAAAACGCTTCCTTATCGTCACTTCCTACCGTGATAAATACAAAAGAAGAAAAAGAAGGGCTCGTCGTGTACAAATATGAACGATCGATGAAATAATACAATAAAGAAAAAAAGTATCAAAATATATTAAAAAGTATCAAAACGCCACTCACGCGTACGAAACGTTTGTTTGGAAGTTTCACATTAGTAAAGTGCACACATGCTACACGGTGTTTCGTCCGACCGGAGATTCAGAGAACGCTAAATATTAATATATATATGTATACGTGGTTAACGACGTTTCTCGAAAATATACAAAAGATAGTAGGTACGATTAGGAGAGAATACATAGAGAGAGACCGTAATCGCGTACGTTTTGTTTGTAACTGGCTTGGACGTCACTGTTCTTTTCGCGGAACTCTACTCTATATAATTTAAATACAGGTGTTTACGATAAATGACGCTCTAATATATTACATATATACGCCTCTGCGCTTTCACAATTCTTTCTTCCATATAACTTCGGTATCTTTACAATAAATTTATTGTTTTTTTCTTTTTTCTTTATTATAATTTACAATACATCTTCCCCCCCCACACACGCGGGCGTTTCTATATACGTATGCATATATGTATAGAGTTCGTAAAAATTACGTGACGTCCAAGCCATTTAGTATTTGTGTATTTGTACAGGATAATCGGCAAAAAAGACCCTGACAAATATCGATTCGAGACCTCGTGACAAGCCAAAGGAAAAAACGCAAATTTTATCTTCAACAGAGCGACACCAAATTCGGGAAATTTGTTCAAAGAAAATTCGTAAATAATAAAGCTGAGAGAGGTGTGGTATCATTTCGTTGGAAGTATCATATAGATTTTTACGAACTTTACGCGCACATGTATTGTGTAAGTATTCTATACTTTGTACCTTTTTCTTACTTTTGTACCTGACATATTTGCTCGCGACACTTTTGCAGACAACCTGTACATTGCATTGAATATGCTAAACTTAATGTGGTAAATAAAAAAAGAACGTACATTTATTCTCGTAGAAATCAACTGATCATCGTCCTATGATCCCATAACATTTCATATACTAAAACGTAATAATATAGCTACTCCTGTGTGATCGCATTTCATCTTTTGCTTTAAGAATCTAAGCATTAATTAATAATCAATATATGTCTCTATATATATATATATATATTTTTTTAATATTTTATATATTAAATAATCGAATACCCTATATTCATTGGATTATAATAAAATTACCAAAAAAAACTGAAAGGTAAACATTCATAAAAATAAAAGGACTTCTCATTTGTTTCAGCTAAAGCACGTTTCACATACAAAAAGCAACAATTACAGGCCATGTGAAATATTTTTGTTGTTGTTGTTTCTTTAACTACTATAGAGTGCATGTACAATGTTTCTTTTTTAATATCGTAGCATTAATAATAATATCTTTCATATATTTTTTTTTCTTATCGTTCGTGTATCGTTAATGAAAGTGCGAGTGCACAATACTTTGTTAGACAGTCACTGATTCGTTTAATATTTTGGCCATCTGTCGGCAGAGTAAAAATCGATTGCATCTAAACGTCCTTAGAACAATGTTCGTCTCTTTTTCTTCTTTTTCATTAGTTTAAAATTAGAATCAGTCGAGGCCAGATTGCGACACAATTCTTGACACCAGTCCCTTCTCCGTTATTCTTTCTTTTCTTTTTTTTTCCAAGAGTGCATACAAGCAATACCGGTCTAACTAATTTTGTATAACACGAATTATAGTTACTGATTATCTTTTCTATCTTTCTCTTTCTCTCTCTCTCTCTCGCTCGCTCTCTCGCTTTCTTTCTCGCAATAGACGTGATCCTCATATGCAGTCTCAAAAGTGCATCACGCTTTTATGCCGTGCATACTTAGAACGATCCGCGTAAACGTAACTCGTATACATACCCTGTGATAAGCAGTTTATGTGTCCGTATCAATCTGGCCTTGTCAAAAAATGTTTTTTTTTTCGGTCGATGCTAGAGTACTTTCTACTATATTTATGTCCATAAATAGCTTGCACGCTATGAGACACCTATCGTCTTTGGGTTTTATAATTAGTCAAAGATCTTCAACGAACTAATTCTCACCGTAACTAATTTCGGCCGCCCCCCCCTCCCCCGGACCAACAAATTGTTTCTCGCGGTCAAATGATTTCGGGTCGCAACGTTCTTCGAATTGCTTAAAAAAACAAATTGCTCCGAATGCTGCTCGAGCAACGCGTCGAAAATGCTATTATGTATCGAACGTTTAAGAGAGGAATTAAAGTCTTCGGATGACACGAAAAATGTACAAATGTTGTGCATGACTTGTAGATCCCTTCACGTACCGGCTTGGTATATAGAAACATTCACTTATATTCTTCTATGTAAACTATAAAACCCAAAACCAAACTCTAAATTGGCAGTATAGTGTTGGACATTGCGCCCAGCGCAAGGTGCATAGTAGAGCTGCTGCGGTCAGCGAGGAGAAGAGGATTCCTCGCTCTTGACAAGAAAACAATTTGTTATGCGGCTTGGATAAGATAATGGCAGAGGTTACACGTATGTGGCCATAGTGCCGCTTGGAATGGGTGGCGTTTCCTCTGGTCTGCCCTTGGGCCCGTATTGTCCGATGAAAGAACCATCTTCCGTGAAACGTCCTTGAAAAAGATAAAACAATATCGGTTAGTCCCTTTGCATTCATAATGGAATTTGTTATGATATTAATAACCAGATTTGTAATTCTAGGATACAATAACGTGATATATCGTCGTCCAAAAGCATCGACCTACCTTAAACTAACGTGGCAAATGCTTGCGAGTTTGGTTCCTGCTTACGATGTCGACCGTATTGGCCAATGAATGATCCGTCTTCGTTCATGCCTTCTACAGAAAATCAAGCAACAAAGCAAAACACCAAATGAAAAACAAAATATAACATAACTGAGAGTACCGACTAAAGAAAAATCAGTTAAGTTAAGAAAATAATACTCTAATCGATACTATTACACGGAAATAACGCTGTTCAACACATATACAGGGTGTGTCCCGAAAATGTCTCGCAATCCGGAAATGGGAAGGTTCCCGAGGTCATTCGAAGCAACTTTTTCCTTTGCAAAAATGTTCTGCGAGGCACCGTTCGTGAGTTATTCGCGAAAAACGCTGACCAACGAGAGATCGCTGACGCCCCGCCCCCGCGACCACTGCCGCTGCGTCGGCTGGCCGGCGCGACGCGGCATTGGCCGCTAGGGCAAGGCGCCGGCCGCAGTCGCTCTCCGATTGGTCAGCGTTTTTCGTTAATAACTCGTAAACGAAGCCGCGGATCGCATTTTCGCTAAGGAAAAAGTTGCTTCGAATCACCTCGGGAATCCCCTACTTTCAGACTGCGAGACATTTGTGGGCCACCCTGTACATTTGCTCGGTGTAATTCTAATCAATATGTATAAGAAAGAAAACTAAAGAATCCTTGAATAAAAATATCTTAAACCGTACTTCCTGCTGCGCGCAGCGTACACACGTGGGAATCGGTGCGCTAGTGGATGCTCTTACTAAAAATATACTTACCTGAATTGCCTCATTGCTTCGTTAATATAAATTGACCTTTATTCGATTATAAACTGACCTGTATCACCCTCCCCGTACTCCGCCATAGAATCCGTGTCAGATTCCGGATGCTTTCCGTCTTGGTGAGAGGATGACGCCAAAGACGCGCGACCACCCGCCGACTTTGTGTCCAAAGGCTGCGAATACTCGTGGAAACCGCCCTCCTCGGGATAATCGCCGCGACCAGCTGCCAATTCTCTCTCGTGCACCGCGTACTTGCCGCCCCGGTTGCGCTTGATCACGCAGACGATTATAAGTACCAAGAGAAGGAACGCGATCGCCAGCATCATCCCTATGAACCAGCCGGCGGTCGCGACGTTCTCCTTCGGTTGAATGATGGGACCTTCGCTGCTTGTCTCGACTTCCTGCTGCTCGCTCTCGGTCAAGTAGTCCCCGTCCACGGCGACGATAGACATCACGTAGATCTCGCCGCTCTGAAGTCCGCGGATCTCGATCGTGTTCAATAAATACTCCGGGTCCGACTCGTCGAACATCGTCTCGCCCTTCAGCTTGTACTTCACGAAAAAGTGGCTGCCCGGATTACCGTTTAAGTTCAGCTGCCAAATGACTCTCACGTTGGAATAGCCGTTTTCCTTCGGGATAGCCTCCCACGTGAAACGAGGTATGTCCGGAGGATGCGATTTCCGTGTTTTCTGTTCGATGAAGTAGCTGAGGACGTGAAAAATTAGTCGATTAGTTTCATCGTGATGTTAGCTCAATTAATTTCAATTTAAAAAAACATACTCGTTTCCTTCGCCGATCTTCGTCGTCGCTCGGACATGTATACGATACTTAGTGTCGGGCGCTAAATCTCCCAATTTCGCGCTCGTAGCTTCCGGGTCCATTACATGCGGCTTCCTCTCCAGCAACGGCCCTGCCCTGGTGCCGGTCACGGACTCGTAATAAATTCTATATCCGGTTAGATTACCGTTCGGCTCCGCAGGTTTCGTCCACACCAGGAACAGGGCGCTGGACCCCATAGGATAGGCTTCCAGGGCGAGAATCGTCCCTGGAACACCCTCCGGTGTGTCGAAGCTGAGCGTCTCAGAATGCGGTCCCGCGTATCTGAAAAACAAATAATATTTGTTTACAGTCGTCGCCGGAAGACGGATCTCTCTAAAAACGATTACTCGAATTCTTATTACCGCCCGTTGTACGCGAGTATCCGGACGTAGTTCTTGCTGAAGGGGACGAATTTGTTTACGAGAGCGTGCGTCCTCTTTCCGCCTCTTATGTCGATCTCTCGCATTCCCTTCTCGCCGTCCTTTTCCGTCCACGTTTGAATCTTGTATCCCTGCAGCTCACCCCGTACAGAATCCTCGGGTACCGGATTCCACGAGAACTGCGCGCTAGTACTCGAGTTCACATTAATCAGTGTGAAGTTGCTGGGCGCTTGCAGCGGCACTGTAACGTTACAGATGATTTCATCAAGACTGTCTGTCTCACCGAATGGGCCACAAAAGTCTATCTTGGTACGAACCATCTTCTCCAGAAAATCCGGTTATCTCATCGGGCGCGACTCTGCACTCTCCCCTTTCGTTGATCGCCACAACTTTGATCTTATACCTTTGGTAAGTCGGCTGATTGTCTACTACCAAATTGTTCTTCTTCCAGTCGTGTATATCCTCTATGGTCCATTTCTCGCCGGGGATGTCTCGCTTGTAGTACACCCTGTACATGAACTTCGGAGCGTTGTGCTCTATCTGCGGCATCACCGTCCAGGATATCACCAAGTTCTGCGGGGTGGTTCCCTTGCCCATGACGTTGTCGGGATTTTTGTAAGGGACATCCGGTAGCGTGGTGCACACGTCGCTATGCGGCGAGGGCAGCGATGGTCCTACAGAAAAACGATCACCGTGAATTATACCGGTTTCCCTCTGAATTTTTCGCCGCACAAAAATCTTACCTATCTTGTTCCAAGCCAGCACACGGAACGTATAATTAGCCCACGGCGTCATGGGCACGACGAACGTTTGTTCAATGGCCGGCACAGAGTCCCTCGCCACTTCCCAAGTGTCCGGCGTGAAGGTCGTGTTGTGCTGAATGGTGTATCTTAAAATTGGCGCCCTGTTGTCGCCCATGGGGGTCCAGTGTACGGACGCCTCGTTCGCCATACACTGCACGCTAAGTAGCTTGGGCGCGTTCGGCACGTCCTGAACGGTCAGCGTCGCTTGTGCCTTTGTCTCGTCCAGTTCGGTGTGAGCGACGCACGTGTAAGTACCAGAATCCAGCTCGGTTGTCTTCGTGATCATCAGCGAGTAATCGGTGCTACGTATGAATCGTGGTTCCATCTCGAAGTCTATCGGCTCACCGTTGCTCAGCCAGTCGATTGTTAAAGCGAGGCTGGGATCCGTTACCGCGTTGCATCTAAATAGTATAAATAATAACATAAATAATATAAATAAATATAAATTATCGGTGACAATGGATTGCACTTGAAATTAAAAAAATATAGACACGTAAATGCAACGATTACCTGAAAGTAGCAGTCGCGCCGGCAGCAACCTCGTAATCTTCTGGTTCATCGGTGATCCTCGTGTGTTCCTTCACCACCAAAGTGCCGGTAGCGTTGACTTGTCCAAATTTATTGGACGCGTGACACGTGTAAGTGCCTGCATCCAAGAATATTACATTCTCGATCTCCAAGTCGCCGGACTCCAGAGTCTTGTACCGTCCACCAGTCAGCTCTTGGTCGTTGCGGATCCATTTGACAGCAGGTTTAGGTGCTCCGAATACTCGACACGTGATCCTCACAGTTTTACCGTCGACCGTTGCGATGTCCGCCGGCGCTTGTAAAATCTCGGGTTCCAGAGCCAGCACGTTAACGTAGACGTCTTTGTAAACGTAACCCAACGAGTTGGTCGCGTTACAACCGTAATTCCCTGTGTCCTTCTTCGTCAGTTTCTCAATAACGATGGAATTCGCCGTGACTTTTCTGCGCGGATTCGGCGGTGCTTCTCCTATAGGTTTGCCGTTATGTATCCATTTGATCTCCGGAACGGGCACGCCGTCGGCCGCGCATTTGAACTCAACCGTCTCGTCCTCCGCCGCGTTAATTATTTCAGGCTCGATGGTGAAATACGGCACGGCCATTACTTGTAAGTTTATGGAGTAGGACTTCGCGTCCCCCACACCGTTGGACGCCTCGCAAGTGTACGAGCCCTCGTCTTTGAAATTGACATGCTTTATTATCAACGACTTCCCGTAGTTCCCGTGCGTTATCCTGTCGTTGGTACTTATCACCTTGCCGTTCTTGCTCCAGACTATCTGCGGCAACGGCGTACCGCCGTATATGCAATATAACTCGATCTTTTTACCGCGTAAGGCAACTTCGTTTTTCCTGCTGACGTACTGTTTCACAGGCTCATGTTTGTTCTGGCTGGCGGACACCCCCGAGGAGATAACATTCAATAGAACTCTATTCCCTAATTTGTATTCGCTCCTGAACAGAGATGTGGCAGCGCAGGCGTAATAAAAATCATCGGAGGCGTCGTCCCGGGAAACGTTGCTGAACCAAAGATTTCCTTCCGGGTCCAATGTCATTCGAGAATTGTTGATCGATTTGATACCACCCGCCGTGTCCTGGATCATCCAGTAGACGTTCGGTTTTGGCCAGCCGTCCGGTGGCTGGCACGTCAGCTTGAACGGTTGTCCTTCGTTGGCGTTCAAGCTTATGGGGTTCTGATCCTTGAAGGAATTCAATTCGGCCTTCCTGACGAAAACCGAGTTGGACGTAGCCGTTCCCCATTCGTTCGATGCGAAACATTGATATTGACCAAGATCTTCGTCGCGCGGTCTCGCGATCACCAATGTTCCTCGGCCTCGTTGCTGAGAAATGCGATCGTCGTACGCTGGCCATTGAAAATCCTTTCCGTTCTTGATCCATCGGTAGCTAGATAAAGTTGAAACGTTCAATTAGAAAGTTAATAATTGATATAATGAAATGATTGTCCAGTACGAAGATTGGTGAAAGTAAATTCTAGTTTCTGTAAGTACTAATCGCAGAGAAACTGAATCAAATTATACTATATTTATATTGTTTATTTTCTACCGGTATCACAACGACCACTCCCATATGGGGAGAATTTACACCACAAGTAAGGTATCTTTATCGGCACTGGTAACTTTATACCCCCCTAAGGCTATGAGGTCATCTTGGTAATTAAGACCAGTTACTCTGGCTTCTCGGCAGAACAAAGATAACTGCACTTAAGTACAAGTGCAATGAAACTACATGAATGGAATCTTCTTGGAAATTATGAACTTAACATTACACTACCGTATAATTGCTACTTCCTGCTAATTTATCGCATTCTTTCGATAAATATTTAAGGTTTTATGACTAGGGCATTTTAATCGCTTTTATTATACTATTAAATAATATGATGTATTCCTTCCTTTAGAGATTATATCGTACTTCCAGGAAGATAAAAATTTTTTTAGACTTCTTCAAATATTTTACAACACCGAGATCGAATTTCTTTAGCAAATAATAGAAAAGTGCTTTCAAGAAGCATGTACTTCACCTTGGAACAGGTTCTCCCTCTGCTTCACACTCTATCAGAAATGGTTTGTCATTCTCATTGACCTTCGCTTGAGCCACTTGAAACAGTTGCTCATCTGTCGGGGGTTGTTTGGATATCCGTGGTGGAGATTGAACTAATGGAAGAAGAAGAAGTGACAAACATGTATAATTGTTACACCGTTGAAGTACGCTTTGCTATCGCTATGCGGCAACAAGTTGAACTTCTCGATGAAATGAATACTACGAAATTATATGAAATGAACAACAACAAGAAAAATCAATATAAATACAATGGAAAATATTCGAATGATTCAAATATAATGTACGAAAATAAATGCAACGAGAAATGAGATTCTGTGAAATTAACAGAATGGAAACAAGCTTTTAACTTAATATAGTGTAATAATATGAAAGAAAAATTCATGTAGCATAAACAGTGCTACCGAAGCAAGTAAAAGCAACAAAAACTATCTCTCTGAAATTCCTGAAACACGTAGCGATAGTTCTCTAGATTGTATAGCTATAAAAGCGTATTGTATATACATTAACGATGCGGTTTGTTATGAAAAACTAGATTTGTGGTAAGCAAATCTCTCTCCAATAAACTCTACAATTTCATCACCTCCTATAATATCCAGGATACGGACTATAATTAAAAATCAGAAACTGTTATGACTATTGATTGGTCTTAACAAGTGTTACATAAAAAGATTTATCATTGCAACATGAAATACGACGACAGAATTACACTCACTTATAGCCGATGCTTGCAGTACCAGCGTTGAGACGATGCACACGATTAGCTTCATGATCGGACAGTATTTTCTTGATCTAAAAAAAAAAAATACAAAACGGACTTCCTCAAAACAAGCTACAAAATAATAAAGAATCCAACTTTGAATAACAATTTAATAACGATCAAGAAACAATGACTACACAATTAAAAAATTTGGTAATCAGTTGACAATTATATTTTTCATTGAACTTTAATCGCTATTAACCGAAATATTTCCCTGTCAATCGGACGAATGATCAAATTATTCGACCTATTATTTTTATCGATTAAATCCAACTTCGAACGAATTTAATGGGGCACGGCACGAGTAATCGAGCATCGTACGTGAACGCGAGGAACATTTTCAAATTCGTGTCGCCCAATCGAAAATAAAAGACACTGGGCGATACAGCCGCCGGAAATTCATCCATTCAATTTGCACTATTCAAACCGAATTTATCGAATGAAATCATCGGCGCGGCTTCTCCGGCTTCACTGACACCTATACGCTCCGTTCACAACAGTTGATTTTCTTTTTTTTCAATTGGATTGACACTGAGTGAACCGTTTCGAACCACTTCGCGCGTGTCGCTACGAACGTCTGCATGTACGATCGAAATATTTTTGATAGCACTCCGAAAACTATGAAACATTCATTTGAAAAATTAGGTTGACCTTCAAGATAATAAGACACTGAAGTAAATATATATATGTATATAAACTCTAAACAAATGCTTGGTACAGTAGAAGAAAAAGAACATATGATCATCTAATATTGTTTGGAAATAATTAAAAAAAAGAGAAAAAGGATCGGACCACCAATGTCGAAATAACGTTGCAACCATTATAACCCTGAAACGTCAAAACAACGAGGTAAACGGAATCCAAAAACTCGCGTATGTAATATCGTTCGCAGAAATATCGATGGAAGATAAACGCTTCTTGTTCGATTTATTTTACCGTCTTTTTGGACAACCAACTCTCGCAATCTCGCATTTTCTGTGTTTTATTTTCGAACTGTAATATTTCAGCCAAAAAAGCAACACGCGTTTTCAAGCTTCCAAAAATTTTGCAACATCCTAACCCTTCCGCATCGAATACCGAAATTCTATTAAATTTCACTATCCGGTCCCATAATCTTTTCCGTTTGCTGGTTCCGATTCGCGGTTAGAATGGTTAGAATTTTCGGGACCGATCGGAAACATTAGAAGACTGCGTGTTGCCAATGGAGACGTGAAAAATGGGCGTGCTCTCGGCAGCAGAAAAAACGACGACGGACGAGTTATATAGATCGGACATGTGTCAGCGTGGCCCGGCTAATCCGAACGAAACGTTTTAGCAGGGACCTAATAATGTCGGAAGCGGGCCTGAGAAAAAACGAACGAGCGGCTGCCAATGTAAACCGGAATCGGTTCTCTCGGGTCGCGCACAATCGTCGTCGGGAACAGGTGATGGTGTCACGATGATCTCACCAGAGCTGTCCTTCGAGATCACAACATCGCGCACAAACACCGATTTTTACCGTCTTCGGGGTCCTCCTCGGCACGTCGAAACGGCTGTCGAGCGTTCAACGAGATCGCATCGACCGCTTTTGTTAATCGGAAAACGAATTTTCCCGTTCGGGAACGAAAAGGGAAAAAAGGGAACACACACGGGGCTGGGCATACGAACGGGCACACCCGCGAACCAACATTGATCGCCGACGCGGTGTTCCGTTCGTTTCACGCGTTCCACAAACGATGCCTCGTTCCGAGTCACTGAAAACTCGCCTCGGCTCGGTCCCCGCGGTAATTTAAAGCTCACCTATCTCAACGTTTTCGGAAGCGGTCGAACGTTAAAATCCCGTCATCACCATGGCATCATTGAAAAACCACTGACTCGCACACGTAACGCACCGTACGGTACTGTACCCGCTGTACGCTGTAGATGTGCACGTTGCATGTATGCAGACTCGATCCCCACCCTAGCCTTCTCTCACTGGCACACTGATTCACACCGACGCGATGCGTCTAAACTTTAGGGGTCTATCACATTGTGCGCGGACGATACAGGGTGTCCCGAAAATGTCTCGCAAGCCGAAAGTGGCGGGTTCCTCGGGTCGTTCGAAGCAACTTTTTCCTTTACAAAAATGTTCTCCGAGGCAACGTTAACGAGTTATCAACGAAAAACAGTGACTAATCGGAGGCGAGCTCAGCTGGCGCGAGGCAACCGAGCCAATGAGTGGAACCGGGCTTCGCGCGCTGGTTGACCGGGCCGCCTCGCGTCAGCCGTACTCGATTCTTATTGGTCACTGTTTGTTCGTTGATAACTCGTTAATGGTGCCTCGGAGAACAATTTTGTAAAGAAAAAAGTTGCTTCGAACGACCCGAGGAACCCGCCATTTCCGGATTGCGAGACATTTTTTGGGACACCCTGTATTTATGCGTATCTGAGATAATAACGCTCGATTTAACGTAACGACGGATTCAACTGAAAGACAATTAAAAGATCACTGTAAGAAGGAATACGTTCGACATTTTACACGATGATCTATAGTTTAATTATATAAATTTAATATTATTTTAATATAATATTATATAATATTATTATTATTATTATTATTATATTAATAATATTATTATTATAATATAATATAAATTTATTATATTATATATAATATATATATTATATTATTATTATATATTAAATAAAATATAAAGCGATTTTAAACGCAATAAAGGTTCAAGTAATTGATTCATTGCTCCGTGTCAGTAAATCAAATTTATCGAAACCATTGTTCACGTTCAGCTACCAAGGTGCAGAATCCAGGATCATCGATCGAACGTCCGGTGTGAACGAACTCTTACAGGAGTGAGTGTCCGTTGGCCAATAACGGTCGAGGTAGATCGAAGATATCTGTCGCGCCAGATTCGAAAAAGGCGCGCCCTCCGAGTAAACGGTGCGTCCTATGTATAGGATTCTAAAGTGCAGCTGCGTACACTTTGTGAACCGAGGGGAAACGATACGTTTTATACATGTAACGCCGTGTTAAATAGGGGTAACCGATGCGCCCTTCTTCGACCCGTGAGATCTATTCATCAGACGTGCGAACACAATGCATGTTCGCGTCAAAAATCCCATTTCCATCGTGACTTGGAAAAATCAATAAACCGCGTGAAATTCGACGCCAATGAAATACTACACGGTACAAATATTTTCGATAATAAAACATACGATTCCAATACATATGATCCGATACTTTGATCTACTAGTTTTGGTATTGACCAAGCTAAACGATACCGGAAGATAGCGAGAATTTCCCGCCAATCGTTGATAACCTCTGTAAAAATAGCGGGTTAAAACAGTCGCGGTGACGTAACGCCGATGCAGATGCAAAGGAAGAGCATCGGTATGCGAGTGTCAATTGAACAGTGCAGAGAATGCAGCGGTCTCTCCCAGAATATCGTCGGTGGAAATATACACACCATACGGCACTTCAACGCAAATATTGTAACAAGATAGCTCTGGCAAACCGTCGTGGAGCCAATGGTGAGAGCGCGGGTCTGTCCGTCCGACTCGATAAGCAGTACGTCTGCGTAAATTTAAAACGTTCGATCGGAAACCTAACAGAAAAAGATGTAGGTCAAGCGGAGCTGTGTTGCCCCGCGTATATTCAGCAAAATTCATCGATTTCACGCGATTCACGAAACGTCCGAAAAGGTGTCCGAACGGAAATTATGATGGTAACAATTACGCGCGCGAGCATATTTGGCGACATCGCGTTAGGTTCGTCGGACCACACGCCGTGCGGTAACGAGCGGCGCTTACAAAGCACCTGGTCGCGCCATTTCTTTCGGCGACGATTGATGGAACGTGCACGAACGAAAATGCGTCTCGCGCAGTCCGCCGGACGCTAAATAAGTACACGTTCGCCGCGGATGTTGTTATAAAATAAAAAAATATATATTATATATAATAATATTATATTATATATATAATAAATATATATATATATATATATATATATATATAATAAAAATAAAATAATAAAAATAAAACGTTTCGGATATCTTTTTGAAATGTATCCGCGTCTGATTTTTATCCGACGCATTCGTCGTTTCTCATTCAAAACGCTACCCGCGGAGCCTGACGAAGCTTCAAAAACCAGAAACCGGGCGCGTGCGAGAACATTGTTGCAAATTTAGATGTAGCCGCGTGGGAACGAGTCGGCGGTGCAAACGTTTTGGGTCAATGTGCTTATTGAAATTTCGTTCGCGTTCGAACTATGAATACACGTTTTATTGTCAATTTACAAAATAATAGTTTCGGACACTTTGTACTATAATATAAATATCGACTCTGCTAGAGCTACGTAACAGAGTAATAATCGACAATTTTTGTACAATTTTATTCACAGTGAAGATTAGTACGTTTAAATGGCTCGGGGGGAATTTCTCTAAGTAGCATCATCATTTATACAAGTAAAATCGAACATCGTTTATAAATATCGATAGAAATAATTTAAATAGATTATATATGGTACGATATGAAACATTGATAATCCTATCTAGAAAATAATAACAATCTTTTGCGTTCGCGTACATAAATTAGAATCACACTGTCAGCGCTATACAATTGTATGTTACAGATACATTGTATAAATAATAAAATAGATTGAATTGTCTAGTTGATTGAATTACACTATTTGATATTGTTCTGGTTCTACTTCATTTATATGGCGTAGAAAAAATGTCACTTTGACCTGCTCCACGTGGCGGCAAAGTTTCATGGCTAAGCTCGTTCGCAGTTTCATATGTTGCGTTAAAGACGGCAGATTCAACAATAAAAATGCTAGTCCGTCGATCTCCTGTAAAGCGAAATATATCTCAATTATCTCTTGTTCGGATTTTATTATTCTCTTTGAATGATCTTGTATAAATACCTCTTGCTTGACTCTGTACGCGATATCCTTGCAATCGTTCGTTTTTCTCAGATATCGAAATACATCGTCCACGCTCCAGAAAAGCGGATTCGAATCCAGCTTTCGCGTTTTTGGCCGTCTCTGCTTCTTCTGCATTCTCACGTACTCCGCGTCCGCCTCCGAGCAATCAGATTCGATACTTGTATCCCAATCCCGTTCTCGTTTGCTCGCTCTAGTCACCGTACTGCTTTGGCTGCACTTCGATGAATTCTGTTTGTTGCTCAAATTGTTCGGGCTCCCTCTATCTTTTGTTTTTCGGTCGTTGAACGAGCTCCCGGAATCCTCTGAAATGTTGCTCGAGGGTGGTTCCGTTTTGAAGTCGTCCGACTTCTCTGCCTTCTCCAAGCCCTTCTGAATCATTATGTCTATCTCCGAGAGCTGCGGCCTTTCAGTATCCTCGAAAGACTCCTCGATACTCGACACGTGTTTCGCCAAGTCGAGCGGCATAAAAGGCATTTCGTCCTCGTGCTCGAAATCCTCGTGCGTTTCTTTTTCCCTGTTCGCCCATCTGCCTCGTCTTCTTTTCCTCCTGCCACCCCACGGCTTTGGTTTCTGCACCATGATGCTTGTATAGCCCTTCGGTTTTCCTCTTCTTCCGGTACCCACCGACGCAGCTGTGGGCAAGCAAGAATTGATATTTAGTCGCAGTCAGGATACGTAAAGATTGTTAAATAAAATTGAATACTTACTGAACTTCGCCTTGGACGTTTTGTGACATCTATCCGGGCACTCGTTCTCAGGCACATAGAGGGGTCCGAAGAGATTCGGGCACACCATCAATTTTTTACAAATATTTCTACAAAAGTCAGCAACCATGTCTCCGGACGTGACGACAGCAACGCTGGCACGATAAGTGTTGTTTTTATGTTTCGCCTTCAGAACTTCCAAATGATAACCAGGATCTGGTTTTGAATCGCATTGCAGCACTTTCAATATACGGGCGCTTCTGTAACCGACCGACACGATCATCGATAAGACTTCTCTCATGACTAAAATCACAGGACCTGGTCCAACGGCTTTCGGCAGAGTAGCTAATTTTCCTTTCGAGATCATAGGCCCCGTGAAACAACGGTAATTAAAATATATCTTCGGACACCATAGCGAAGAGCGCGGCTCGGATATCGGTATGTCCAAAACGTTATTCTTCTTTTCCTCCTTCGCAGGTGTTTGTAATTTTTTACAAACTTCTACGTAGTCTTTCGGAGGCTTCAGTGGATAATGATTGGATTCGCACCATCCAACAGGGAATATTTGCAGACTGTGCATGTCGACTATATGCTCTGGCCACGTGTTGTCGTAATTATCTAATTTCAACCATAGGAGGTTGTCTACGATTTTGGTAATATGTGCAGCGCAAATAATGTTCTCGTTCCCTGGATCAACAGCTTCCAACCGCATTCCAATTTCGAAGCCTGCGTCAGCAGCAATTTGCCTCTCAGAAAATAGTTTCTCCTCTGTAATAGTTGCTTGAGTCTCCTTTAAATACTCGTCCCAATCAAATTCACCTTCTTTCGGAACCCAACCTTGTGGCGATGTGATTCTGAAAATGAATGAAATGTTAATAGATGTGAACTGCGAACTATATATTTTAATGCGTCTGTATATTATCCTTACGGAATATCGTGCTTCTTAGCCCAACCAACTGGAAAGATATACGGATGTTCCGCAGTGCACAACCACGTATTCTTTTCTGTGCTACTGTACATAAATGTCTCTGAATCTACTGCTTTCGATGAGTCATCGTACGTATCAATATGTACAAGAAAATAAGTATCGTCAAGTACTTTAATGACAGTGGCTGGACATATTTTCATGTGATCGTGGGGGCTCAAAGCTTCCAATTTCATGCCATTTTTGAATTCATGCTTTTGGTGTTCTACGCTGTTGTTAAACAATTCCTCTTGCAGTTCACCGTCCTTTGGTGTGGTTTCTAATAAATCCTTCCATTGTTCGTACGTATGCATATCTACTATACGGCTGGGAGGCTCTAGAAACCAAGTGGAATCTGACTTGGAAGCGAATCCATACGGATGAAGATGTTCCGATGTGCAGAACATCCAAAAATCTTTGCGCGATGAGCCAGGTGTGTCGTATCTCAGTAACAAACGTCCACCTACATTTTCTATGATCTGTAATGAATCAATAAATAAAGAAAAGATAAAAATACTAAGCAAAAATCTGTTAATTGCCTCTCACCGTAGCCACCCATAACTTATAGGGATGCAGGGTATCGCTAACTTCGACTTTCATGCCTTGTTTAATTCTCTCTGTCATGCTGAGGCCATCCTACGGATAATGATGAATTTAGAATGAATATGTAGTTTCAGAAATCTGAAGTTAAAGAATAATCTTATTAATTTGTATCTTACCCCCGACAACATTTCAGGTGGAACTGTCCGAACGGTTGTTAAAAATTCTGTTAACTTCTCTACGCAGTCCGGAGATCTCTGAAGTACAATATCAGGAGGTTCTAATTTTTTATTATTCTTTACACACCAGCCGAGCTCGTGAGCCGCTTCTTTGGTCAAATTGAACCAGAATTCTAAAGATCTGTCGTCCCCGCCAAAATATCTTAAACGCAGTAGAGGTCCACAGGCCATGACAATAGAAGCGACCCAGAATTTGAGATTCTCCTTGTCTGCAGTTTTTGAAAGAGGAACCTCAAGCGACATACCAATTTCAATGCCACTTTGCAGCGTAAGTTCCACATGCGGGAACATGATTTGTGGTACTTCAACGCTTTCTGTGGCATCAAGATAGTCTTGCCAGAAAAATCCATATTCTAAAACATAAATGTCCAATTTTAATTTCGTAGAACATAATTTTTTTTAATATAAATTAACATAGAATTAATATACTTTTACGCAACGAAATATAAATATTTATGCTAACAAATTATATTACACGATTACGATTAAAATATATTTCACACGAACGAACATTATATAACTAATTTCATCGAAATTATATTTTCAATTTAAATTATTTTTATTTATTCATCATTAATTTACGGATAAAATATAAATGAGGATTGTCCGAAAAATAATCTTATCTGATAAATTTAAAAATTACGATTACGAACGTAATTATAGATAAGACGGAACGATTCATGAATATTAGAACGTTAATGAAATAAAATAAATCTCTCCGCGCGCCTCATTAATAATTATAAACAAACATCACGTCGATTAAAAGCTCGTCGAACAATGTCACAATGGAATCCCAGTCCAACAGTCGGCGAGCCGTGTTCAAAAACTTCAAAGGTTACGGAATAATAGAAACCGTGGATTTTACCGCAAAACAAACAACCGTGTTATATAATAAAAATAGCGCGAATCACGGGTGCAAATGAATCTTAACCAGAACGATTAATTCCGATCTTACCTCCTTCTTGCACTTTCTCTTGCGTGCAGCCCTCGTAAGGTTCCATGATTTCGTTATAATATTATAAAGCCTGCACATAAATACATTTCGAATCAATCTCGATTCTCGGTTGATCAACAATAAAACAAACTTGTTATCTGCCGTTGTCGGGCGCGTTCAACGCAACGAAGAATATTCTACAACCTACCTCGTCGTATTTCGTGCGTATTTTTCGAAATTATCGTGGTGCTTGTTTTAATGAAAAATAATATCGTCGATCGTAGCGTAGCTGCCCGTGCCGCTCTATACTGGCCTACCGTGCGTGTCTTACTCTCTCTCTCTCTCTCTCTCTCTCTCTCCCTCTCCCCCCCTCTCTCTCTCTCTCTCGCTCACTGTACGCTTGGCGCACTTGTCCCGAATATTAGAGACATATACCTGCCCCGAATTAAGCAACGTTTTGAATTACCGTTAGCGTCGTTATTTTACAAAATGTCGGCAATTCTCCCTTGTCCCATATGCATACGCTTGAACCTTTTTAAATCGTCAACGTTTTCGTTCAAAGATCATATGCTCACCGTACTTTGTTTACCGTGAGCACGAGATTACACATCTTTCGCGATGCTTCTCATTTATTTTTTCATTCAACTATTCTTTAGAAATAGGGTTATCAGCGTAAGTTACTACCCCTGGCAGAAAATATTCGGTTGAAAATCGTTGTTACGACCGCCGACAGACATTATTTGAACGTTAATCGAAAACGAGAACTGTGCAAGATACGAAATAAATCGGGCTTAATATTATTTTCCATTTTTCATTTTGTGAGAAATACCTAACGGTATGACGTGGCAAGAAATATTACATTACAAGTAGACTGCAGACATTTAAGTAAATACATGTATTTTTAACAAAGACCAGCGACGTTAATGCTTTACTTTTATCCGAAAGTATCTTTTGATAAGAGAAATCAATTTTTCCTTTATTCTGATGTCTACGGGATATTAATTAACAGTAATTTGCATAAAGAACGAAATAGCCATCGGTTGCGATCACGGCATTTTAAATTTTACGGCATTTTATTTTTTATATATTTTATCTTTTTCTTCAAAGACATTGAACTCTGGAGCAACCAGATAGATCGAATAATCGGTTGCAGGTATTTAGCGTTACGATCACTATAGAAGCCTAAAAGATGTACATTTGTACTTCGTCAGAAATTGTGACGCGAATTCATTTGCATAGAGAACAATCGTTGTTGCAAAACAGGGCAATTGTAATACAAGCTTTCGGCGGATCAATTCTGTGATCGAGCAAAATTCTTACCTTCGGCTTCTATCCCGAACACGTGTCTTTCGCGATGAACAATAAGTAAACACACGCGATTCTATGGTGAAAATCTATATATGTACACTGATTCTTCGATGCAAAGAGTACCCGTTTATAGAGTGATTCGTCAGGGGAATATAACAGCTCGCGTACTTTTATTATGCCGTGCATACATTGTAGAACGATATTACATCTATAATGTTACCATAGACGGGACAGAAATACATATATTAGCAGCGAATCGTGTGTACTCGTTAGAAAATCGATACAATTGGTGGAACACATTTTTCGTTTCACTTCCGCACGGCGCGTCCCTCACGCACCTTCATGCATTCGGAAACACACAATATATATGTATATACGTGTGTATTACACGAAATATGTAACAACAAAATGTTCCTATTCTTGAACTTGCATGCATTTACAAAGATCGGCTAAAACGTGTGTATTTGCGAAGAATTAGAGCCTGCGTAGAACGTCCTGTGTCGAAAACAATGAGAAAAAGCGAAAATAAATTCTATAAAATATATTTCTATGACGTATCGTTTAGCCGTGTTTTTCAATAGTATGCAAGCAGGATAAACATAATTGAATCGAGATTACAAAAACTATCGAAATGGTGTACAACCTGCTGTTACCAATAGAAAAAAAGCCTAGCTGTTGAGAATGCTGTGTAGATCGTTTCATTTTTTGTCCTGAATTTAATGGGAATAGATCTTCCGGTAGGAAAATAGATATTAAATATAATGGAATGAATAATTTATATTAATTTCGAGTACACACGTATACAGTGTTCAGAAAATTATATTAATTGTATGTATTTTTTCAAAGTTTTCCATCCTGCTAGCAGACGACATGCGCTTCGGATGCTGTCGCATGCTTTCCCTTGAAAACATCAACGCGTCTCGGGATTTATCGATGCTTTTCTTTTGAATGTATCGTTCGATAAGTATTTTTTATATGATATGATCGGTCGCCGAACATGCTTCACCTACGAGGACTTGTATTTAACACCGTTAATAAAATCAAGACTCTCGAATCCCGCGTTCCATTGGTGCCTAACCTCAAAATAAGACTGCCATCGCTGTGCAGCGATTCGTTCAGCTCCGAAACGAAATCGCTGACGGCTGATGCGAACGTGAGAAAGTATTTGGATCACCTTGTGGACGCTCATCAAAACGGGGATGTAAAAAATGAGGTTGTCAGAGAAATTTTAGGAATACGAGCGTTGCCACGCTTGTTGGAAAATAAACTGAATATAATAGAGTCCATGAAGAGCTTGGAGGATCTTGGTAAGTCATACGAACAGTCGGATCACAAAGTAATGGGACCTCGTCTGAACAAGTTCCTTTTTTAGGGAACCTAAAATGGTCGCGTAGATAAAGTGTACCTTCTACCTTGTCGTTGGTTCATTGGCCGATGAAGATTACAAGGCAGGAGACGATGCAGGGTCTGGTCGTTTGAGTGTAACCAATCCAGTTTCTTCCGTCTATTCGCCACTGGATATATACGTGGTGTAAAATAAATTTGTAACGCTCTTACGAAATGCTGGACCCATTCTTCAGTAAGTTCCGCAAGAAACATCATGGTTCCATTACTTTGTACATTAATTTAACGTCAAAGTGAATATTGATATAACGATGAAATCATTTTTTAGTCTGCGATAGTGCGGAGATGAAGAAACTTGCCGAAGAGGAGGAAGTTTTGTACGAGCAACAGCTTCAAGATATAGACAATAAAATATTGAACGTAATCTTGGAGCATCTGAACGACGATAGTTATGAAAATGTTATATTAGAAATTGCGCCAGGTGTAGGAGGGCAAGAGGCTATGCTGTTTGCCAAGGATCTGATGGACATGTATACGGGGCATTTGGATTACTTGGGATTGGAATACTCCATAATAGAACTGGACGAGAACGACTTAGGTGGTATAAAGAAAGCTGTTATAGCAGTGACAAGTTCCGAGGGGTTTAACAAATTGAAGTACGAGGGTGGAGTGCACAGGGTGCAAAGGGTACCGGAGACAGAAAGGTCGGGAAGGTTGCACACGAGTACAGCTACAGTGATCGTATTGCCGGAACCTAAGAGCATAGAAATTGAGCTGGATGAGAAAGATTTGACGATAGAAGTGAAAAGAGCGTCCGGTGCTGGTGGACAGCATGTGAACACCACAAACTCAGCGGTCAGGATAACCCATGTACCAACCGGCATAGTTGTAAACTGTCAAGAGAGTAGGTCTCAGATCCAAAATAAGAAGGTGGCTCTAATGAAACTGAGGAGCCTTTTGTACGAGCAACAGTCCGAGAACCAAAGCACGTTTATCAGTAAGTTGCGCAGAAAACAAATGGGTATGAAGGCCAGGAACGAGAAGATTAGGACGTACAATTACAATCAAGATCGTGTGACGGATCATAGAATATCAAACGGCACGATACACTCGTTGAAGATCTTCATGAAGGGCGGCCAATTGTTGGAGGAGCTCGAGGAAAGACTTCAGAAGGACATGCAGTGGAACATGTTGCTGGAGATAGTGCAGAATCTGGGCGGTAAATCGAAAATGTAGGCGGGAGGGAAGGACGATTTCATTCAAACGTTCGGCAACAGATTTTGATAAGAAACGACTTCATTTTACATAGGCAAGCCATTGTACATAGCAAATCGGTAATAAACTCTGTGTAATACAAGTAACATTCATTCGTTTTTCGGCATTGAAACTCGCCACATATTTTTGTACCTGGCCGCGAACAGAGCGCCAGTTATCCCGCTCGAGGAAGCAGAGAACCGGCGTGGTAGAGAGTTCAGTTGTTTTTTTTATTTTGAAAAACATACAACAAGATTATCTTCTCTTTGGTAATCGTTTTGCTCTCGAACCGCGTGTCCAAAGGCACACATCCTTGTAACGTCTTTGTATAATACATTAATATACAAAATTAATATCCGTAATCTCTATATATATATCAAACGACGACACCGTCTTACGTTCGGTTAATGTACAAAGCGCAAAAATCTGTCGTGAAACGTGTATACCATATATTATCATGGTATCGCGAGAACATGCGCGTGCGCGCGCGCACACATGTGTTACGGCCCTGCTCTGAGTGTACCCCTAATCAAGCCCTAACTGCTTTATCGCTCTGGAAATTTCACTGGCGGCTGGCGTAAGCGAATTAACCGACCGGTCAAATGCGATTTCATCATCGAGACAAGTTCCGTTCGACGATTACACCGCGGAACGTAGGTGCGTGCTACCTACGAGCTCCGAATTGACTTCCTCGTACTCGGTGGTACATATTCAAGCTCGGTTCGCGAGCGAGCAACGCGTATTATGGCCGGAAGTCGCCTACTTCCACGCTGATTCGTGCCTAGGGCAAGCCGCAATTCCGCTGTTATGCTCAATGCTATATTACTCGACTCTATGACCGTGCACGATTCAGCCAGAGTTCTATGAATTCGCACAACTTTCAACAGAACTTTAAACCTATTTTCATGCATACTTTGGTCGTACAATGATGTTTAACGGAGGATTTTAAGTATCGTACCTCGTCGTCGAGGTAGCAGGAAATATTAAAAAAGAATTCGAAACCAGCAAGAAATGATTTTCTTGTAGTAAATCGAAGTTCGGACTTACAGCTCTAACTATAATTTTCTAAACCAGCGTTACAATGGCCTCGCGATCAACGACAAACCTGCACAGGGTGCGATTCTCCGTCGGAAATTTAATCGAAGCATTAACTACACTCGGATTACATCAGTGGTCTAAAATTTGTCAAACGAAGAATCAACCCCTGCGAATTACAGAACACATAGTTGACGAGGAAGTATCTTCCTCCGTTGTTCCCTCATTCTATCGGTATAAGACGCTTCGAAACGTTTCAGTTATTTTGATTTTCGGTTGAGTATCCATTAGTCTGTTTCTCATAAAAGGACATCTGACATTTTATTTCAGGTGTACTCTTCTCAGAAACATACTATAGCGGACCTCTTGATCCATCATCGACCACGAAGGCGTTAATAGAACATAAGAAATCAACGTCGAACTCTAATGGATGCCAGAAAGAAGCAAAATTTTCAGGTCACAGCCCGTACAATGAAATCAACGTGCAACTTCTTACGCGTCGTTCAAACAAAATTGTGCCAATCTATGTCCGACTCGGGCTAAAGTAATAATGACAACGAGGGGTCGAGCAGGGGCGCACACGTAGCAGATACCGCGTTGTATTCCGGGCAGTAAGGTCGTTTGTTTTGTTAGGACTAGTTTTCGGCACCGAGTCGCGGACGTCCTCTTCGGGTTCTCGGCCGGCGCGCCGCAAATACACGAGATGACGGGGCCCATCGCCTGCCGAGCATTCTACAGGGTGTCCCGAAAATGTCTCGCAATCCGAAAGTAGGGGATTCCCGAGATGATTTGAAGCAACTTTTTCCTTAGCGAAAATGCGATCCGCGGCTTCGTTTACGAGTTACCAACGAAAAACAGTGACCAATCGGAGGCGAGATCGTTTGGCGCGAGACGGCCGAGCCAATGAGCAAAACCGAGCTCTGCGCGCTCGTTGACTGGGCCGCCGCGCGCCGGCCGAGCTCGCCTCTTATTGGTCAGTGTTTTTCGTTGATAACTCGTGAACGAAGCCACGGAGAAAATTNTGTTCCCTCATTCTATCGGTATAAGACGCTTCGAAACGTTTCAGTTATTTTGATTTTCGGTTGAGTATCCATTAGTCTGTTTCTCATAAAAGGACATCTGACATTTTATTTCAGGTGTACTCTTCTCAGAAACATACTATAGCGGACCTCTTGATCCATCATCGACCACGAAGGCGTTAATAGAACATAAGAAATCAACGTCGAACTCTAATGGATGCCAGAAAGAAGCAAAATTTTCAGGTCACAGCCCGTACAATGAAATCAACGTGCAACTTCTTACGCGTCGTTCAAACAAAATTGTGCCAATCTATGTCCGACTCGGGCTAAAGTAATAATGACAACGAGGGGTCGAGCAGGGGCGCACACGTAGCAGATACCGCGTTGTATTCCGGGCAGTAAGGTCGTTTGTTTTGTTAGGACTAGTTTTCGGCACCGAGTCGCGGACGTCCTCTTCGGGTTCTCGGCCGGCGCGCCGCAAATACACGAGATGACGGGGCCCATCGCCTGCCGAGCATTCTACAGGGTGTCCCGAAAATGTCTCGCAATCCGAAAGTAGGGGATTCCCGAGATGATTTGAAGCAACTTTTTCCTTAGCGAAAATGCGATCCGCGGCTTCGTTTACGAGTTACCAACGAAAAACAGTGACCAATCGGAGGCGAGATCGTTTGGCGCGAGACGGCCGAGCCAATGAGCAAAACCGAGCTCTGCGCGCTCGTTGACTGGGCCGCCGCGCGCCGGCCGAGCTCGCCTCTTATTGGTCAGTGTTTTTCGTTGATAACTCGTGAACGAAGCCACGGAGAAAATTTTCGCAAAGGAAAAAGTTGCTTCGAATGACCTCGGGAACCTCCCATTGCCGGATTACGAGACATTTCCGGGACGTCCTGTATACAAAAAATAGCCTGAACCCTGAACCGACCCTCGGAGATTACGACAGTGTCCATCATGGCCGACGGCGGCGCACGCGAAGACCCGGCCTGCGCGGCGTGGCGCGACAGCCGACTCGACGATCAATCAGCAGACAGCAGCAGCACACAGCACCAAGGAGACCGTGTACCCGCTAGTACAGCGTTGCTATAGATATGTCCTAAAATACCTTGAAATCGCGGTAACTATGACAAAACAGAGAGAGAAAAAAAAAGAAAAGAAAGAACATCGATTACTTCGCAACGAATCGGCCCGAATTGTACTTTCTTTCTTTCAGAAAAGCTAAACGATGATTGGCAAGTGTAATCTCATCGCTCGAGAGCGTCGCTAGCGCGATTCTATGACGGTCACGAAGGACGAAGAAGGGCCGCTGCGAGGGAAGTGTGTCGACACACCTCCTTTGCCGTCGTTGGCCCCGAACCCCTATACGATGAAGGTCTCCGAGCCGGGTAAATTAATTATGACCGAAGACGACGCGTCTGACGAGGACGCACGCGGTCGGCAACAGTGTAAGGAGGTAGATATTCGGCGTCGCGATCACAGCCAGCCCGCACAGGTCCTTGATTTCGCTCTCCCTCGAGTGGGTGCGGATGCAGGATTGGGGCTTCTTCCTCCTCAGGGTGATGAGCGCCTTCTGGCACACCAGGGAGTTGTTCTCGTACATCACCTCCTCCGGCAGCACGCTCAACGATGGCGACTCCGTGTCGGTGCAGTCCGTGTTCACCACCAGCAACAACATGTTACTGAACTCCACCGGCTGGACGATGTACGACCTCATGCAGCTGTCGTTTATGTCCTGCTCGACGTCGAACTTGTCGAACGACACGTTCCGCAGGTACAGGTACACCTGTTGGACAAATAACGTGAGTTGATATTTTTCTATAGTATACAGGGTGTCCCGAGAATGTCTCGCGATACGAAAGCGGTGGGTACCTCGGGTCATTTGAGTCAACAATAACCCATCATACTTTGATTATGCTTTGTTATAAGTAAAGAGTTCTTGCCATACCGTTCCTCTGTTAACCTTCATAATTAATTTTAGACAATTTTCGGCAGTTCAATTAAATAAATGTCTGTTACGATATACAGGGTGTCCCAAAAATGTCTCGCAATCCGAAAGTGGCGGGTTCCTCGGGTCGTTCGAAGCAACTTTTTCCTTTACAAAAATTTTCTCCGAGGCATCGTTAACGAGTTATTAACGAAAAAGCGGTGACCAATGAGAGGCGAGCTCGGCCGGCGCGAGGCGACCGAGCCAATGAGCGAAACTGGACTTCGTTGCGCTGGTTGGCTGGGCCGCCTCGCGTGTAAGAATCATTCGTGTTCAAATCCTAATTAGCAACATAGTATTCTTTGGGAGTGATCGGTTAATTAAGCAAATTAATCTTCTGGTAAACTAATATACCTCTTGGTCGCAAGCCTCCGGCCGCGTGCGGTTGATCAGAACCTTTTGATCGAACATTTTTTCATCCTTCGGGTCGACCGGCGACTTTTCCTCGCTCTCCTGATAATCTCTGTGCATGCCCTCGTCCTCGTTCGGGTAAGCAAATGCTTCAGCATATTCGGATTCCCACATGCCAGCTTTCGCCCAAGCCCATGCTGCTTGACCCAACAGCCAGGTGGCTATCTTCTGAATGTTCTTCCACGGCTGAAAGCAACGAGACTTGAAAATCTGTGACCCAGCTTGGCGCCCCGTTTACTAATTTTCTGCTAAAGCGCAAATGAGCCGTTTATTCTCTCCAATTGACGCTCAAATTATCATTATTATGTACATAATATATTATATATAATAATATATAATATTATATAATAAAATGTATAACAATATATATTACTATTCAATAAAATATATAATAACATATAATAAAATATATAATAATATAACTTATATAATAACAATAATCGTATCCCCTCTCCCCAAATTGCCCATTTTTGTGTACAATCTGAGCGTCAATTGGAGAGAATTTACTGCGACTGGAAACACGCTCGCAATGATATATGAGCCGTTTATTTTGAAAGTGGCATAGGTCACTTTGTTTTTAAGTCGATATATTTAAGGGTTTGCGTTTTAACACGTTTAAAAATATCGATGCTAACTTTCGAGAAGATTTACTTCTATTTGTTATCTCTGGATACTGATATTTTTCTCAGTATAAATAATTTCGTATAAACATTAAAAAAATCACCACTTTTCATTACGATAAAGTGACTTATGCCACTTTCAAAATAAACGGCTCAAATATCGGCGGCAGCGAAAGGACCTCACCGTGAGCAAGATACTCGCGATGTTGGAAGTGTGCATGCTCTTGAAGCAGACAGCTTGGTAGTCGAATATCCTGATCCTTTCGAAAACGCCCTCCTTCACGAGGCTCGACATGATCGGTCCCCTAAGCTCGCCGAAGAACTTGCCAGCGTTCGCCTCGTCCTCGGCGGCGATCACGTAGCCGTTGTTGTCGACAAGGTAGCAGGCCCAGTTCTCGGCGCCGCAGTGCGTGCGGCAAGACCCGATGCCCTCGCAGCTGAAGGTTATGTTCTGGAAGAGTCCTTGGAGGGCAGTGTGCTCGAACTGGAAACCGACTACTGCTGCTGGCGCCCTCGCCGTTTGACTTCCTGGAGAACGGTCCGATAATGTTAGTAATGACAAGGTAATTCGATCAAGTTTAATTCGAGTAAGTCTGATTCATTGAATTAAATATATTAATCTGTTAAGCTGCAGACTAACGCGCGAAACTATTAGGTCTAGTAATAATTAGCGTCGTTTCTTAGCGTTCGTTTAGAATCCTGCTTGCCGCTGACTTGGTCGACATAACCTACGAACGCGCGATACATGCAAACAGTATGAAGCGTACAGTTATGTCTCCCTTATTGACGCTAAGATTGCGCAGAAAAGTGGACAATTTGGGGAGAGAAGATGCGATTATTCGAGTCTTGCGGTTTATTGTTATAGTTATAAATTGTCAATAATTATAAAAACGAGCCATAAAGCTCGAATAATCGTGTCTCCTCTTCCCAAATTGTCCATTTTAGTGGACAATCCGAGCGTCAGTATGGGAGACATTACTGTATTCGAATGTTCACTGACAAAAATTATACGACAAGCGTCGAACGCGTTCGAGCCGGCGCGATAACGTTACGAAAATATGCCTGTGTTTTCCCTCGGGAGAGAACAAACGCAGAAAACACTCGCACGGCTGTCTCTCGGTCGAAAGAAATTCGCAAAGTCGGAGATCCGATTTCTACATATTAGATCTGGTAATAATTAGCGTCGTTTCTTAGCGTTCGTTTAGAATCCTTCTCGCTGCTGACTTCATCGACATAACCTACGAACGCGCGATACATACAAAAAGTGTGACGCGTGATTAACAAGCTTCGCTGCAAAAAGTTTGTGTTCGAACTGTTTTACTTTGCGAAACTAGGGTCAAAGGATGGCGGATGAAGAGCGTATTCGGCATTGCGAAAACAACCGAGATCGAAGAGTCGTGATCCGCGGTTCGCTCCTCTCTCGTCGAAACCGATTGCCGTTTTTAGAGCAAATCGTTACCGGAGATGAAAAATGGGTGCTTTACGTTGATCCGAAGAGACGGCCGCGATGGTTGGACGAAAGCGAGGCGCCGCGGCCCACGCCAAAGCCTGACTCGCACGCGAAAAAGGTGATGTTGCGCGTTTAGTGGCATTTTAAATGAATTCTTCGTTACGAACTCTTGCCAACCAACCGAACCGTTACAAGCGAAGCGTATAGTGCACAATTGGAAAGGTTCGACTGAGCTGCGAGAGAAAAAGAACCCGCGCCGATCGATCGGAAGGGCGTGATTCTTCGTCGCGATAACGCGCGACCGCGTGCCGCAAGAATCACGGCGGAAAAACTACGCCGGTTTGGGATGGCAAGTTCTCCTGCAACCTGCGTATTCTCCAGACATTGCCCCATCTGATTATCGTTCGTTTCGTTCCTCGCGAAATGTTCTTCTTGGAAAACATTTCGATAATCGAAGAGTGCCTCGAAAACGCCTCGACCGAATTTGTTCGATCAAAATCACAAGAATTTTACGACAGAGGGATCAAGATGCTACCCGAGCGTTGGGCACAAGTAGTCGAAAACAACGTCGACTGTATCGTCGATTAAATCGTTTCGTTTCGTTTAAATAAATTACTTTGAAAAATGTATCGGAAAAACGACATCAATTATTACTAGTCCTGCTGTGTATTTCAGCTGTTGTTACCGATAAAAATGGCACGACTGGCAGTGACGAGGGTGGTGTTGTCGGCGCCCTCCTCGTCGATTGGCACAGAAAAGACGAAGCTCTCCGGCTGGACGTAGTTCTGCTCCACGGCTCGCTTGTACCACACTTCGTCTATGGCTCTCGGGTACATCTTGCTGAAGTGGTCCTCGGGAATGGCGCCCTCCTCGTCCGTGAGGAAGTCTTGCCATCTGGTCAGGCCGCTGTGGGTGGCCATGAACGCGACCGTCACGCCGAAACGTTGTTGGAACTCTTTCCTATAAGAACAGCAACACGTTACGCTTCCAGTTGGAATGATTGCTTCTGGGAGAACAGACTTCGTGTCTGTCCAGTCTTTTCTATAGTACAAAGCTAGCGCGATACGGCGGAGCTTTGGCGACTCGTTTGCAACGCGTGATTCTTTTGAAACAATACTTTCGGTGGTAAGTACTTCAGCAGCCACTGCTTGAAGAAGTTTTTCTTCAAGGACTTCGAGATTACTTTAGCTCTCAATTTTAGGGCACTGTGATTCAAACGATTCTGGAAACGAATGTTCAAGGTGGTCGATAGCTTTGCAAGCAAGTCCCCAAGGATCTCTCAGCTACACTGTACAGTTTGGAAGGTTTTAAGATCGATCCTCCGGTTCCAGGCTCCCCAAACGGATGCTTCTTCCCGGTCGAGACGGCTGCAGCAGCTCTGAAAGATCACGGCTCGTGATCCGAAACGGCCGATCAAGAGTCGCAGAAGGATTAAACGTACATATTGAAACGCAAGTTTGCTGGTGAATTAAGAAAGTAAAACGCTCGGAGAACGTTAAAGTATATCGAACTGAACCGGTGTCGAAGAGAGAATGAAAGAAAGAAAGTAAGAAAGAAAGAAAGAAAGAAAGAGAGAGAGAGACGCAAGAGAAGCTGGCACAAAAGAAGCGATAATAACAACGAATAAGATTATTATCGTTAGCCTCTAAATGAAAACGTAAGGTGCGTTTGTGGTGGACGTTACCTGGGCAGCAGATTCATCAGCCTAGCTAAAGGTCTGCATGGCGTCAAAGTGGTCAAGTATTAGTAAAAAGGAACGGGCGCGTTTCGTTATCCTGACAGAAGAAAAGAATAAGAGAACGGAACAAGAGATAATTGTGCAGAGAACGGAAACATATATACACACACACGCACATACAGAGGGAACGGTTTCGCTTGTCTCTTTGATAAACCGCACAGTCGGATTTCTCGAATTCTATCGGTGGTGCCGGCGCCTTTTTCGCATTCATCCTCGGCAAAATCTTCAATCCGATTCAATTTAATCACTATCGTTTGATTTTTCATCTTTTTTTCCATAGCAAGCCTGAAGCGTGTTTCGCAATTAATCTTTTATTGTTCGTTAACACGTTGAACGTCCGGCGTGAATCGCCTAGAGCTTCTCTCGGCGCTACGAAGCAAAAAGAAAAAATTACAAAAGACTATAACGTATTGTCCTGAATGTCCAGAATCACTCTAATTATGTTTACAATGTTTTAACGAGTTCCATCATAGCTAATAAAATGTTATAATATTTTAAAAACGTATTTAAATATAAGTTACTTACACTGTTAGTAAATATTATACTTTAAATATTATTATATTATATATATTAATTATATATATAAATATTATATTTATACTTTATTGTTACCCTATATCGTCTATACTCGTCATAGTTGTGTTGCAAATAAAACTACTATAAATCACCTCCAAAATCAGCCATATATAGGTGACGCGGCGTTCAACGTGTTAATTGCAAATTGCTCAGAACTTTTAGAATTCCTACTGCCTTGATCTTTTCCTTCCTGTGCGAAGAATCTATGGCGGATTATTACATAATCAGAATTCTCGCCACTGGGAACAACCGAGTGCACGAAAATGGTGCTTTTCAATTTAAATTAAAAAGTAACGATGCTTTTTAATTTATCGCAGCAATTGTCTCGTTTTCAAAAGCCAAATACGAACTGGTCGCTGCTACAGCTGCTGCGTCGTTCCAGTGCGAATTTTCCAGAATTATGAAACGTATCGATCCGCCATCGCAAAGGAAGTCCACCTCTTTGTCTCGAAAATATTCGCTAGACTCGCTTTTTCTAGACCGCGTGTCCCATGCGATACGCAGAATCCTAATTAGAGGCAGATCGTTCTTTTGATGCTCACCCTTTTTCCTCGCGCGTGGTGCTGGGGTTCGCAAACCATTCGGTTACCTTTGCGTCGAACACCAGGCTCAGAAGCAGATCCCTGTCGCAGTAGTACAAGTACTTGTCCGCTTTATAAGCCGTGGCTGTTCAAACAGAAACCATATCATTCTCGAAACGATTTGTTTCGCGCGATCGCGACCGTTCCGACGTTCCGTGTTTAGATGCATACGTTTCGATTTCCGATGGGTGTCGTTACCGGAACTCGTGGCCGAGTATTCCGGCGGCTGGGACGGCTGTTTCATGTCTTTCCATTTCCAGGCTGGCTGGCGGATACGCTCCAGGAAGTGAAGGAGCTGAGCTTCCGGCGTACCGAACGGTCGCTCGTCCTCGAAATGATATCTGGATCAAGAAATTTCAAAACGTCGTTCACTGATTTCACTGTTGACTTATGTAGAATACGTCGGAGTGATAACTGATGGAGAGACTCACTTGCAGTACAACCAATGAGGATGCACCCGCCAGTTTTTACCAGTGAAATAGTCCGACACGTTCTTGCCTAGAAAGAGAATCTTAGAGTTAGAGCGAAGTAAAGTACAGAGGCCTTTTTGTGTCGAGTCAAGATTGATTGCATTCGTTGCAAGATGCAGGAGATACAGTAATGTCTCCCTTACTGACGCTCAGATTGTCCACTAAAGTAATTTGGGAAGAGGAGACACGATTATTCTAGCCTTGACGGCTCATTTTTATAATTGTGGACAATTTATAACTATAAAGATAGACCGCAAGGCTCCTGGGCGTCAATTAGAGAGACATTATTGTACAGTATTGTCTCCCTTACTGACGCTCAGGTTACAGTAATGTCTCCCTTACTGACGCTCAGATTACAGTAATGTCTCCCTTACTGACGCTGAGACTACAGTAATGTCTCCCTAACTGACCCTCAGATTACAGTAATGTCTCCCTAACTGACGCTCAGATTGCTCACTAAAATAGATAATCAGACACAATAGTTATGCCGAGAGAGTGAAGGTAGGGACGACGAATCGCTGATTGCTCTCTTGTTTCGGTGAACGTGCGTACCAGTAACGTGCGCGCGATGTATCTCCTCGGTTCCGTGCACGCGATAGCTTCCGCCCCGATCATGTTCCGGCAGGCTGACCACCACCGTGAACGGTGTGTTCAGTATTTCAGTGTGATCGTACTTTCTCTTCACTCTGCCCACACGTTTCTGCAACAAACGAAAAGTTTCAGTTCGTTGGTCCCTTCGAATTTAATCGGATTCTCATTGGCAACGGTTTTATATTTTAAACAGGTCATTCTTGTCTAGAAGTGTGAACAAAAAATGATTTCTTTCTAATTGTATCTTCTTCAAATATAATGATTTTAGGAATAAGTCGGCAGGAAGATTTTTTTTTTAAGCTCGCAGAAGTAACGAAGCTATACATTGTTGAGACGTCTATATAAGTATGTAAAATATATAATTATATATATATATATATATATAGTTATATATAGTGTTAATATATCGAACTAATTACCATGTCGTCGTAATGATATTTCGTGTGAAGCTGCGCGCTACCGTTCTTCTGATTGACCACTTCGTTTCGAAGCTGCAACGAGAGAAGAAGCGAACATAATTTACAGTTACATTCTCCATCATGGTGATTATTATCATGGTTAATTATACATACAATATTACATAATATTAATATTATTTGTTAATATAATATTATTATATTATATTATATTATTATATTATATATATTATTATATATATTATATATATTATTATATTATATATATTATATTATATAATATTATACAATATTTTACCATTAGAAGCGCCTCGTCGAACTCTCTCGGTCCTCTATCCTGATCCATCAGCTCGACCTCCGCCATGTCGACGCTGTTGTACGCCGGCTTCAGGATGCCCTGGAACTGCAATCGCATCTTCGATTAATCATAGAAACGAATCGTTCCCTACGTATCGACAATATCTACGAAAAAAAACATGTAAATAAATATCTTGCATCGAAAACGCGGGACGATACGATTGGAGAGCTTCGCCAAGCCTAAATGATGTACTCTACGTGGAAGCGATCAAAGAAACTTCTCGATCGAAGGATCATTTACCACTGGACGGAGGTCGGGATGAATCAGGATGAAACCGTTGTTGGTCACGATGAACGCGTATCCGTTGACGCCGAGCTGTTTCGAACAGATTAAAAAAGCATTCCGTGAATATATCTTCGTTCATTACGTTAACGGTTAATTAATTATCCTGGCTGGCAAACCGAGCACCGAATTTTTTATTATTATATATATTATTTATTGTACAAGGTGTCCCGAAAATGTCTCGCGATAAAAAGGTTCGTTCGACTCGTCTATATTTCGAGTATTCTATTTTTTAAACCCCTTTTTATCTATAATATTTTGCAAAATCCCGAAAGTATGGGCACGCCAATTTTTATGAAAATCAAGTTATGTTTTTTTTTCTACGAGAACCCATCCGCGACCGTGAGAACCTTCGCGTATAAATTTTAGGCTAAATACGGCGCCGCTGTTTTCCATTTCGAGCACGAATCGATGGTTAATTAACCGTTTCGACGGCAGATGGAGAAACGTGCGCGCTCGCTCACCCGATGCGGCATCATAAGCTTTTGGATCTCTTCTATTGGGACGTCCGTGCCGGCGACGCCGAGAAGATCGGCGATCCGTGTCTGCGCAAAGAAACACAGTGCCATGTCAGAATGATCCCGATCCGGGGTGGGGCCGAGTTGGTTCGGTGTATCGAAAAAAATGTATTTTACGAGTCATCATCATCCCAAGTCGCATAACCATAAGCGTATCTACCTTCTCCAATAAATGCTATCACAATGATAAATTCCTCTAAAGACACACTTGTACTAGTATGTAAAGTAACGATATAATAATACTAAAGTAAACAATCATCTCTGACGTACGGCTGGATGTATAAATAAAACTAGCTCAACTACGGTTCTCAAATAAGTCAACGAAAGAACAAAGATGATGACGATGACGATGACGATGATCATTATTATGATGATGATGATGATAATAATAATAATAGTGTGATCGATCGAAAGTATATAATGGCAATGTGATAAAGAACGATACACAATATAAAAAGAGCAATTAATGTCTGACACAGGCTCTCCTACGTATTAATGATCAAATTACAGTTTTGCCGGGCCGTTTATCGTTCTGTCGATCCAGTTTCCCCTTTGTCGATCTCACGGATACCGTTCGATTTATAGTTGCGGCGTCGAATTATATATATATAATATATTATGTAATAATATATGTAATATATATTTATTATTATATTATTATATATATATTATATATTAATATTATTAATATATAACCGTCGAATATTATACATATATATTATATAATAATATATATTTATTATATATTTATTATTGTATATTATTATTATATATATTGTTATATATTATTATATATAATATTATTAATATATAAATAATAAAATCCGTTCGTCCGGATTTTACGTCGACGTCGGCCACGAAATTAATAATGCAATTACCGTTTCGTTTCGCGCGGTCCAGTTTATCGACTGCGCGCCGTGTTATTGTTTCACCGATTTCACGACGTCCGCCATATTTGCCGTTTTTTGATAAGCGCGGGTATTACTACGGACGCGTCAGATGCTACGGTATTTTATAATAGTAATAAAATCTATTTATTACTATTATATTAACATTGTATAGGGTGTAATAATAGCTCTAATAATAATAGTTCTAAAAATGAATCTCGTAATATTTTTATACGTTCAATATTGAATGTATCAATATTTATGTATATAATAATAATATTAATATTATTAGTCTCTCTCTCTCTCTAATAATATTAATATTATAATAATAATAATAATATTTATATATATATTTAATATATCAATATTGAATATATTAATATTTTTTATGGCATGCGAGTAACAGCAATCGCGGTTTTTTTAATTCGTTCGTTGACTTTTCATGAACGAAGGTTCGTGTTCGGGCTCGCAGAGGGCGAAACGGTCGTCGGAACGGTGACCGACCGAGCTCTACTAGATTACTCGTCTAACTCGATCTAGCATCGGAGAGAAAAAACGGAACAATCCGTACCGTGTGCACGCGTTTGTGTGCACGCCGTTTCGTTTGCTCGAAGCCGAAACCAAAAAATATATAAATACTTTTACTCTCGCTATATTAGTTTTTTTTTTTTAGCACAGAACGTACGTCACCCCAGAACCAGAGTTCTACTGAATGATGATGAAAAGATTGATAATAACAACAACAATAATAATAATAATAATAATAATAATAATAATAATAATAACAATAACAGAAAGTAAGAAAAAGTAACGAAAAATAATAATAATAATATCAATAGGAGGTATTCGCCGTTCGCAATCCAACAGGCGGGCAGGATTATCCGTGTTTCTACTCGTCTCGAACAGGGCACAGGGTAGACTAAAGTACCTAAACCTACCTAATGATTAAACTAAGTTCAGAACTAGTGTTAGACCAAAGTAAGATACCAGAGAGACGAACGTGGACCTAAATGAAACAAAAGATCGCCGCGCGGCCTTCTTCGCGCGCCTCTGGAACTTTTCTTGATCGTTCAAAAACTTCATTCTCATGCAGACTTTATTACCAAAACCATTACTAGAGCGCAATTACGGATTACCTTGCATCTTTTACAACCGTCGTGAACGATTCCCTTTCTTTGGTTCAACAATTTCTTTTTTTTTATGGAAATCGGCTTACGTAAACATTTCGGTCGGATCGTCGACGAAGCTATGATTCCAATTGATTTTCAGGTGCGTTCCGGTCGGAATTTTGAAACGTTGTAGGGCTCAAATTGTAGCTTGAAGAGTCTAGAATAAGATAGGATCAACGTAGTTCAAGAGAAATTACGAAATCTTATCAGAAAATCAAAAAATCTCGGCCATTGACTCAAAGAAAAATGACTCCACGTTCATTGTAAGCTTCAAATCGATTTTAAGTTGTATTCCCGTGGATATTTTCAAACGTCATTGAGCTCAAATTAAAGCTTGAAGAGTCTAGAATAAGATAGGCTGAATTTTGTCTATGAAAAATGTCGAGATAGTTTGGAAAGATCCAAAAATTCCGGGCTAGCTTGGAAGCCAGCTCGGAGACACAGTCATTTCGGCGAAAGAATCGCTGATCGCGGTGCATGAATCGTTTACCAAAGAAGTGAAACGGGTTCACGACGTGGCGACAACCCTCTCCGATATCCTCCCTCGAGGAGGGATCATCCCGGAGGCGGGGGTGCAGGCCGCGCGCGAGTATAAAAGGCGAAAGGGTTACGGGGCTCTATGCATTGAAACAACGTTGCTTGTGTTTTGTTTGTGTTTGCTGCCAACCTCTCTAGTCTCTGTCACCCAGTACGCCTCGTTCACCAGCACCTGCCTTGTGATGTTCTGTGGACAAAGAGGAACTTAAAACCAAAGGAAAATCGGTCTGATTCCGCGGCGCTCTCCAGCCCGTCCAACGACGCGCGACGGAGGGCTGGCTCGAGACGCTTCAAAAAAAAGATGGGGGGCGGCGGGGGTGATCGCTGCGATTCATGTGAATGAAGTGGCGACAATGACGAACGAATCGCTCGATTATGTCGGTGAATGCTAATTGCTAATCCGACGGCGAATATGCGAATCGAGAACGTCGGCTTTTATTCGCCGGCTGAACTCTCGACCGCGACGCTTCGCTGCTGTCTGATCGGAATCATCGCTCCAGCTCGGCCAAGGTCATCAAAGGTCACCGCATCTTGCGAGAATCGAGGTTCGATCGAAGACTGTTCAGAAGAACTGAGAAGAACTGATCGAACAAAAACCATTCGACTTTAATGGAAATTTTATGTTGGTTTTAAGTTGTATTTCTGTGAGTATTTTCTGAAGAAACTTAGTTCAAATTGAAGCTTGAAGAGTGTAGAATAAGATAGGATTAATTTGGTTTCAGAACTAATTACTCAGCTGTTTCGAAAAATCAAAAAGTTTCACTTGCTGACTCGAGGAAACGTGCCTCGATTTTAAAGAGAAAGTTTAAATCGATTTTAAGTTGTATTCTTGTGGGCCTTTTCTGCTGCAACTTAGGTCAAATTGAAGCTTGAAGAGTGTAGAATAAGATAGGATTAATTTAATTTGAAAAATCAGAAAAATGAAAAATCAGAATCGCCAGCTGACTCGAGGAAACGTGCCTCGATTTTAAAGAGGAACTTCAAGTCGATTGTAAGATCCATTCCCGCGGGCCTTTTCTAATGCAACTTAGTTCAAATTGAAGCTTGAAGAGTGTAGAATAAGACAGGGTTAATTTAGTTTCAGAACAAATTGCGCACCTGTTTCGAAAAATCAGAATCACCTGCTGACTCAAGGAAACGTGCCCCGATTTTAAAGAGAAACTTCAAGTCAATTATAAAATGCATTCCCGCGGCCCTTTTCTGCTGCAACTTAGTTCAAATTAAAGCTTGAAGACTCCACTACAAGATAGGATATATTCGATTTCAAACAAATGACGAAATCGTTTCCAAAAACGACCATTTCGAAGAACGCCCATTAATCTAATCTCGAAAGCAGCGAAAGCTACGCGCCAATTCTTTCCAACACCTAAAGAACTTGCTTCTGCATCGAATGCAACGCGGTTGCCATCGCTTCGGCAAAACTTCTCGAAGTCCAGGGAGCATGCCTGGGGGTTGGTATGATCGGCCGGGAGGCGATCGGTGGTGCGTTGATCAGACAGCAGCGGCTCGGATGCTCGCGCGGGTGCACATCGTTGCGAGAAATATTAATAGAACGGGGTTAACGGTAAACGGTGACAGGGAGGGAACGGTAAAATCTATTCTCGATGACAAAGCTCGTCACGTGTTATTTATCGGGAATACCTTAGGCCGCTCGATTTCTCTCGTTTCTCGTGCGGCCTCTCGCCTCTCGCGCCGTGACGACACGGCGCGCGCTCTCTTGCGGCCGCGATCCGACCAAATTTAGGGGGAGCCCTAGCAGTTTTTTTCGTGAGGTTCGGACGAAGAAGAAGAAGAAGAAGAAGTGGCGGAGACTCGTCCTGTGTGACTGTGGCTACGATCGATCTTGAATGTCTTACCGCGTTCTCGCGGCGATCGAACACCGGCATGCTGACCGAGGTCATCAGCCTGTACTCCTGAAGGTCGCCGGACTGATCGTGAGCCTTCTTCTGCTTCTTCACGAACCTGCGGTCCCTCTCCTCCGCGTTATACAGCTTCTTCCTTCTGTGCAGCCGGAGAAATCTCTCCTTCTGCTCCTCGCTCTCGCGCTGCTCCCACAGCCAGTCGGTCATCTTCGGGTCCGTGATGTCCGCGTAGACCGGCGTCCAAATCGTGGGATGGTCGTTGCGACCCAGAACAAGAGGTCGAGCCATCACCGGCACGTATTTCAACACCTGCAAGCGATCGGAGAACGTTTATAATAAATTCTGGCNTATAATATATAATATATAATATATAATATATAATATATAATATATAATATATAATATATAATATATAATATATAATATATAATATATAATATATAATATATAATATATAATATATAATATATAATATATAATATATAATATATAATATATAATATATAATATATAATATATAATATATAATATATAATATATAATATATAATATATAATATATAATATATAATATATAATATATAATATATAATATATAATATATAATATATAATATATAATATATAATATATAATATATAATATATAATATATAATATATAATATATAATATATAATATATAATATATAATATATAATATATAATATATAATATATAATATATAATATATAATATATAATATATAATATATAATATATAATATATAATATATAATATATAATATATAATATATAATATATAATATATAATATATAATATATAATATATAATATATAATATATAATATATAATATATAATATATAATATATAATATATAATATATAATATATAATATATAATATATAATATATAATATATAATATATAATATATAATATATAATATATAATATATAATATATAATATATAATATATAATATATAATATATAATATATAATATATAATATATAATATATTATTATGTACATCGCCAATAGCAATAACAACAATTATAACAAGCGATAATAGCAATTATAATAAGTAGCAGTAATAATAAAAAACGAAGATTTAAGACGGGGCCAGAATTGTCGCTGTGCCATTCGTTTTTTACTAAATGAACTGTCGAAGTACAGTAAATTTTCCCTAAGTTCAGATTGCGCACAAAAATAGACAATTTGGGAAGAGGGGATACGATTATTCGAGCTTTGCTGCTCGTTTTTATAGTTAACGATTGTCAATAACTATATAATAATAGTAATATGTAATAATATATAATACTATATAATAATTATATTATTTAATTATATATATTAACTATTACTATTATTACTATATAATAAAATGTATAATAATATATTACTATTCAATAAAATATATAATAACATATAATACTATATAATAAAATATATAATAATATAACGTATATAATAACAATAATCGTATCCCCTCTCCCCAAATTGCCCATTCTTGTGTACAATCTGAGGGTCAATTGGAGAGAATTTACTGCGACTGGAAACGCTCGCAATGATATACGAGCCTTTTATTTTGAAAGTGTCATATAAGTCACTTTGTTTTTAAGTCGATATATTTAAGGGTTTGCGTTTTAACACGTTTAAAAATATCGATGCCAGCTTTCGAGAAGATTTACTTGTATTCGTTATCTCAGGATACTGATATTTCTCTCGGTATAAATAATTTCGTATAAACATTAAAAAATCACCACTTTTCATTACGGTAAAGTGACTTAAGCCACTTTCAAAATAAACGGCTCAGATTATTATTATTTGTTTCCTCCTTCGAACTCTTCGTGTCGCACCTGTTCCCTGACTTCGGCCAAAGTGCAGAGGTGCACGAAGTATCCCCTGTTGGCGCAGGCCATCCACTGCACCTCCCTGACGTCCGCCACCTCCCGACCGATCAGATATGTGAATATTCTGACCGGCATGTCGGCCTTGAACGGCTCGTCCGGATTGTCCTTCCAATTGTAGGTCTCGAAGATGTCCTTGTAGCTGTACGGCACGCCGTCCGTTATCAGCATGATCGCCTGGTTGCACCTCGCGCCCTCCCTCTCCTCGCGATACGACTCGAGAAGCTCGAACGCGGTGGTCAAGGCCAGCGAGAAGTTCGCGATCTTCTCCGTGTCCAGATTCGAGATCGCCCTCTTCAGCTCCCTGACGTTCGCCAGATTCGCTTGGACCAGAGTGTCGTTGAAGCACGGCACCACCTGCGGGCACCGCAACGCGCGCGCGACCTTCCAATTTAATCGACCGCAGAGACCCTTTTGTGCCAAAGTGGGCTGGATGCCCGAAGAGATATTTGAAATCGGAGATACTTATGTTATACATATTATTATAATATTATAGTGATATGTATGTTTATACATTATTTAATATTATTTCATGATTAAAGATACTATTTTTTGATAATATTAAATATTTTTGATATTAAAAGATATTATTTAATTACTATATAATAATAATATATTTTTTTTATATTTAATATATATAATATATAAATATATCTACTTTATATTTATTACATATATAATATATAAATATATTTACTTTATATTTATATCTTATATATATAATAAATAAATATATATTATATTGGAGATATTTCTATATTTGATATTTTTATATTGGATTATTTCAGTAAATTCTCCCTAATTGACGCTCAGATTATACACAAAACTGGACATTTTCGGAAGAGGAAGCTCGAATAATCGTATCTCCTATTCCCAAATTGTCCATTTTTCTATACAAGCTGAGCCTCAATTAGAGAGAATTTATTATATCATGTTTTGATAACAGAAAACAGTAATTACTCCCGGAAATGCTATATCTCAGGTTGCTGTGAATTTCCCTGCGCTAGCGCTACGCCTATGTAATTTTCTGCTCCGTCGATGCTAAGAGTCAACGCGACCGTCGAATAGTGTCACGTGGCCTCCGAATTGCCCTCAAATCGTGTCACGCGGCCTCCGAATAATTTTGACATAACCTCGAATCGTGGCAAACAATTAGAAATAAAAAGATTAAGTCATCCTTTTAATTCTAGCATTCATATTAATGTACACCGATATGCTGGCCGCTGCCTTTTTTACCGACTGTCCCGAGTTTCTATGAAATCGAGCCGCGATGCGACTTATTTTATTCTCGGATCCGACGGTTTCGACTCTAACCTCCTAACATTTCCGGCAGAAATTACTGAGAAAATACAGAGACATCTCTACCGCGTTCTCGGCCGAAGGTCAACGGTCTGGCCGACGACGGATTGTTACCTCTTTGGTGACGTTCGAGAACGTGATGATGTTGACGAAATCGTTGTTGCCGAGCGTGTCGAGGATATTGTTGACCACGTGCCTGGCAATCTCCCTGCGGATCCCGGTCATGCTGCCGGACGTGTCGATCAGAATGATGACGTCCTTGGGGCTGGTCGCGGCCTCGATGTACCAGCTCCTGGTCCTGCAGTCGAAGAGATCGACCGGCTCCATGAACCAGTTGGTCGCCGGATATTGTCGCATGAAGCCGGTGGCGCTGCCGAAGTACTGCCACGAGAGCGATGGGTCCTGCTCGTAGTTGTTTATAAAAGTCTTGTCGAGCTCCTCGGACCATTTGATCGCCCTGATCACGTCCGACGCCCTGTCGTAGACGTTCGTCGGCACGTGGACCGCCGACATGTTCAGATTAACCTGGCCGCCGAAGTGGAAGCTGTGCTTCAGTTCGATGGTGTTGTTCTTCGCGTTGATGTAATTAAACGATTCCGGCGGATCGGCGTCCGGCGCTGACAACGCCGACGTCTCTGCTACGTCCATGATCCTCTGGCGAATTCAAAGCTATTATTTATTAACCTGCCGTTGCAAAGCGAACTTAATATATATATATATATTAATAATGATATAATGATAATATATAATATAATAATATATATTATATAATATTTATATATATTATATATTATTATATATAATATAATATAATAATATAATATTAATAATATAATAATATATAATTTAATAACATAATGATAATGATATAATAATAATGATGATAGAAATATAATGACGGTAATAACAACTTCGACGCAAGATGAAATGTGAAAACGAAAAGAAAGAAAAACAAAGGGAGGAAGGAATAACTTAATACGTTCAGTGCCGCGTGAGTCACTTGCACGGGTGACACACTAATTTTAACTAGGCTATATTGAAATTAATTTTTATACTAATAAAAGTACAATGCAATATTTCCTATGGTAAATATGTTTTATACTCCTTTGTGTTTACATTCCTCCCGCTGTCGCAGCTATCGGCCGCTAGCGACCGCCGTCGATCTGCGTCACCGTTTTCGACCAATAGCGACCGACAGCGGGACAGCTGGAGGGGGAACGTAAACGCGAAGACGCGTTCTTGTCGCGCGAGGACCATACGTACCTGATTACTTCAGTAATCTTTAGCAATTCACGACAAAAGATCGCGTAAAACTTTTCTGATTATATCATTCTTTGTACATTTTTACATCGATTAATGTTACATTTGTAATGTTATATAATGTTATGTTTCGAATAACTGAACATTGAAATCGAAATCGTAATGGAAGCCGAGGTTGAACCGCGATTAAAGTCCGTTAAGCAGCGAAGCGATCGAGTTGCTTTTTCTGGGGGGGGGGGGGGCTGTAAGAAGAGTTACCTTAATGGCGGAGATCTTGGACTCCATCATCGCCTTAATGTCCCTGGCGATCTCGCGGACGAGCGCCTCGCCATCAACAGGCTTCACCTCCGCCTGCTTGTAGCTCTCGTGAAACTTCTCCACGTTGGTCACGTACTTGCCCAACTGCGACAGCTCGAAACCCAATTTGTGCGCCCATGTCTTCGCTCTGCGAACACCGGACACCTTTCGTGGTCAGAACTCTCGATTCTACAGGGTGTCCCAAAAATGTCTTGCGATCCGAAAGCAGGGGATTCTCGAGGTGATTCGAAGCAACTTTTTCCTTAGCGAAAATGCGATCCGCGGCTTCGTTTACGAGTGATCAACGAAAAACAGTGACCAATCAGAGGCGAGATCGTTTGGCGCGAGACGGTCGAGCCAACGAGCGGAACCGGGCTCCGCGCGGTCGTTGGCTGGGTCGCCGCGCGCCAGCCGAGCTCGCCTCTTATTGGTCAGCGTTTTTCGTTGATAACTCGTAAACGAAGCCTCGGAGAACATTTTCGCAAAGGAAAAAGTTGCTTCAAATCACCTCGGGAACCTCCCGTTTCCGGATTGCGAGACATTTTCGGGACACCCTGTAGATTGAATAGCGATGGTCCCCGGGGACATCGTTGCGCCAAGTGAAATCCTCCGTCTTCACCGAGATCGAGGTTTCCTTTCCGAACTCGGCTCTATCGTCCGCGTATTTCCAAAAAACAGCGTCACGGATCACTGTAATTATCGCATCGAACGCGACGGGTACATCGATTTTCGTCCCGTCCCCACCCCTCCAATCGTGCCAATTCTTGCATCATGCACCGCCAAACTATTTCCAAACTTCGCCAAGCGCAGCCCGATTCGGCTGGTATCGACGATATATAGGAGCGAGAGATTTGCATTGTATTTATTGTATCTGCTATATATTTATTATATGTGTATGCTACGCTATTTCTTCCTTTTTGTATTTTATTATTTTATATTATATATAAATTATATTATGATATTATTACATTATTTTATATTATATTATATATAAATTATATTATGATATTATTACATTATTTTATATTATATATATATAAATTATATTATAATATTATTATACTATTTTATATTATATACATATTATATTATAATATTATTATATATTTTATATTATATACAAATTATATTATGATATTATTATATTATTTTATATTATATATGTTATATTGTAATATCATTATATTATATTAGAAATATATATATATTGATATTTTTATTTTTATTGCACTCGTGTGACGGCTATACAAAATCGTTTTCTTTTTATTAAAATTTTTATTAAATAGGATAAATTTGACACGAACAGCTTTGAAGACGAAGAGCGAAGAAGAACAGCGAAGGAAGACGAAGAGCGAAGAAGAACAGCGAAGGAAGACGAAGAGCGAAGAAAAAGAGCGATGGAAGACGAATCGGAAGACGAACAGCGAATGAAGATGAACCGGAAGACAAAGAGTTGATTCGAGCTTGACAAGGAAACAGTGGATATTTTGAGAACAACGCGTCCATCGAGCAGCTACAATAATCATTAGACCGCGAATGTTTACGTTTAGCGTCTCACGAAAATATTTGAACATGTACCATCAAATCCCTTGTTTCATAGTGAATGTTCAAATGTACTGTCGCGAGTCATTTTCATAGTCACCGATTATCAACAAAGATAATAGAAACAACAGCCGCGAGTCTCGAACAATCGTGTCTCCTCTTCCCAAATTGTCCATTTTTGTTTATATAAGCTGAAGGAAAATTAGGGAGAATTTACTGCACTTGTTTTTCACAATTCTACCAGATTCTATTTTTTGTTTTAATGATATCGTAGATCCATTTGTATTTAACAATTTATTAATTTCATCGTTCGTCTTTCCCTTCTTTACGCCACTTAACGATTAATTCTCTCTGTTTTCAGAGATTTCAGACACCCTAGGATATATATTTTATGTATCCTATATATTATTTTATATTTATATATATTATATATATATTTTATATATTCTATATATATTTTATATTTATATATATATTTTGATACAGCACACGAATGCTAGGACGACCACTGTGAACGCAGAACCATGACTGACACGCGAACGGAGACCAACAACAGTGTTTGTTTACATTGCGCGCGGCTGAAAAACTTTGTTGTCATTGATTCTTTGGGTCGCGTTTCCGCGGGCTCGAACGCTCTTGTTGCTTCGACGAAATTTACGTTTGTGGAACGCGATTCATAACTATCGTGCATGTTCCTCGGCCCGTTCGAAACTTTACCTACTCAATCTAGACAGTCGTATCTGTATATAGTATTAATAATACTTTACTTAACATACTTAATATTTTCTCCGTGGTTTCGTTCACGAGTTATCAACGAAAAAACACTGACCGATAAGAGGCGAGCCGGGCTGGCGCGCGGCGGCCCAGCCAACGAGCGCGCGGAGCCCGGTTCCGCTCATTGGCTCGGCCGTCTCGCGCCAAACGATCTCGCCTCTGATTGGTCACTGTTTTTCGTTAATAACTCGTAAACGAAGCCGCGGAGAAAATTTTCGCAAAGGAAAAAGTTGCTTCGAATGACCTCGGGAACCTCCCATTTCCGGATTGCGAGACATTTTCATATAAAAGAAAATTCATCATGGCGCCACGAACTATTTCTGTAAAACCGGCGTGGCATTCAACGTGTTAAGCTCGCTCGAAGAATCTCGGTGCGTTTAGCGTTTATGGTGGCGCGGGAACAGGTCGCCCACGTTTTCACGGTTCTCGCGTTGCACGCATCGCTGTCAACCCTTCGCACACGAGTGCCGGCTCTAGGGCGCCGCAAACAATTGTTACGTCACGCTTCAAATTTCTTTATATTTAAAAAAAAAAATTGTTAAAAGTTATTGTTGCACAAGTTACGAAATACAAAATCTCGTATGTACAAAATGCACTAGATTGTATAAAATGTATAAAATTGAAATACTCTGGCTTGGAGATTATATTATTATATATTTTATTATTATTTATTATATATATTATATATTATTATATATTATATATTATATTATATATAACATCATTATATATTTTTATTATTATTATATATTTCTATATTTTGGATTTACATAAATCGAACGGCTCGATTCGAGTGAATTAATTGTCGAAGCTGAACAAAGGGATCGCATGATGTAAGTTGGTCAGAGAAGACAGTGAACGGTGTTTAAGCTGATGCAAGAACAGTTTAAATTTTATAGGTCGATTAATTGAATAGATAGATTTGCCGACGAGTGAATTAATTTTTCCAGCAGGCCAGAGGAATATCCCATTATTAAAATTTGAGAAAAGTAACAGCGAGCGCGTAGAGGTTATGTCACGAGAACAGGTCGCCCGCGATTGCATGGACAGCAAACAAATTGAAAAGCGAATGTCGATCTCACTCTAAAAAAAAAACAAACAAATTTTCGGGCCTGAACGAGGGAACACCGTGGAACAAACCACGTAAAAAAAAAAACAGCGAACGCGTGAACCTAACGCGAGAACAGAACGCCGACGGTTTTACAATTTTCGCGTTGCATCGATTAAATCGACAAGCTCGCTTGGCCGATAATTAATTAATTTTTGAAGGGAGACAATTTCGAGGTGAAGACACAGAACGTGTAAATACAGGTGGCGCGAGACCAGGTGAGCCACGTTTTGACAGGTCCGAATCGAATCGACTATCTCGCGTTTATTTCAGATTTTTCGAGCAGAAAAATTCCCGTTGCAATCTCCGAAGGAATCGCGCGGTATAAATTAGACGGTAACGGCGCGATGAACGCGTTAGAACGATGCGAGAGAACAGTTGACGCGAGGCCACGTTTCGACGGCGCGTGCCGAGGGCAGCTTGACAGAGCGAGGGAAACGAGCGAACGCGGAACGCGATCCTCGACGCGGCCGAGTTGGAAGAAAATTCACGGAAGAAACGCCGCGGCGTGAAGTAAAGTGACAGGCGAGCGCGGGCCGCCACGTTTTCGACGGTGGCGCGTGTCGAGGGCAGCGAGTGTCACGAGCCGAGGGAAGCCAGCGAATTCTCGGTGCGAAACGATTCCCGTGGAACGTCGTCGAACGGTTCCGATTGATCGTGGTAAAAACCTGTGCAGAGACGAGAACGAAAAACCGAAAAAAAAAAACTTACGTGTTGTAGGAGATACCGTCACCGTCGAGGCCGGGTACCGCGATCAGGATCAGGATGACGACGGTGGCAGGCAGAGGCAGAGAACGGGGCCTCATCGCTGCTGCCGTGTTCGTCGGCGCCGGCTCTCCGCTGTTTACGCGAGGACACGGTAAACAAAACTGAGGCCGAGAGGCGGCTCGCGTCTGACATTAAGGATGCTCTCGGCCGGCCGTGTTCGTCGCCGTCTTTGTCGTCGTCGACGTCGACGTCGCCATGCAGTGCGCGCACCGTCCGACACCACCACGGCGGCCAACGCTTTTGCAGATCAGCGCTTATCGATCGGCGCGTAACGGCGGAGCGGTATCGAGCCGTGCCGGACTTGCGCAACAACCGCCGCCGTCGCTCCGCGGATCTCGCCGCCAATCAACGCCGACCGCCGCCAATCAGCGCCGACCGCCGCCGACCGCCGCCAATCAACGCCGACCGCCGCCAATCGCCGCCGAACGCCATCGCGCCGACGCGACGCGAACGCGCCTTCGGATCGAAGCACAGTGTTCCTAACCGATCAGCGATCCATCGCGGAGGTTCCAATTCGCAACGAGTCGCTTATCCGGAACTTTAAGATCGAAAATATCAAGTACATTAAGATGATTTTTGTGACAAGCAGAGTGCGGATCTTTATGCATTTATTGAAAGTATTGATCAGAGAAATAGAGGATAATTATAATGTTAGAATAATTATGTATATAACGAAGCGTGTTGTTACGACTGTTTTAATCGATTTAATTCTTGTTTTTAAACGATTGCTGAACAAAATTGTTATTTTGCACGAAGATCGAGTAGATTCGATAATAACGTATAACGTCGCGAAGACGCGCAATGACAAGGTTGTCGACATAACCTTGACGATTTGAAGGAACAAATTTGTTCAATTGGTTATGACAGAATATCGACATATAAGGATAATGATAACGTTAGAGGAATATATATATATATATATATATATATATATATATATATATATATATATATATATAT